GCTTCTTAGGCTTAGGGCTGCAAACTCTTCCATATTCCTCTCACAAGCCAGTCCCAAGCACTACCAACCACGTGGTCAGGATTATCACACAACGGCCACACTTCTTGGTACCAGTTCTATATATTAGTTACTTTTCTCATTGCTGTGACCAAAGAAGCCATTTAAGGAAGAATGGACTTATTTCTGCTAAGAGTTCCAGGGGTGTCATTCAATTATGGTAGAGAAGGCATGGTGGAAGGAACAGGAGGCTTGCTAGTCACATTACATCCATAGCCAGGAAGCGGAGGTGAATGCTAGTGTTCAGCTTGCTTTCTATTTTATATTCCAAGACCACAGCCTAAGGAATGGTACCATCCGTAGGTGAGGTGGGTCGCCCATTAGTTAACCTAATCTAAATATTCCCTCACAGACGTACCCAGAAGCCTATCTCCTAAGTGGTTCTAGAGCCTGTCAAGTTGACAGTCACTATTAAATGTCACATCCGTCCTGTGGTAAAGAAGCTGGTCACACTGGCCACCAGGGTTGGCAGCACTTCCTGCTCCCTGCCCCCCTTGCCTGTCCCCCATCTGTGGTCTTCAGCTGTCCCAGTTCAATGAGAGCTCTGCGTGTGCCATCACCTCCATCTTGGGCTCTGGCCACAACAAATTAGTTGGTAAAAGTGTCTTCTGTTCCTGGCCCCTCCCCTCTAATTGTACTGCATCCCCAGCTTCCTTCCTGTGCGAGACAAGAGAGGAGATGAGCAGGAGCCTCTTCTCCCCATACTTTGGCCTCAGCACCTCCCAGCTGGAAGGAAGTGAGTCTGTGGACCTGCACCCCAAGGGGTACCTGTCAGGTGTGCACAGCACCATTTACTCCTTACTTAGCCTATGAGGCAGGAGCTGTCGTCGACCTTTATGTAGCTAGAACCACGAAGGCGGAAAAAAAATGGCAGACTCAAAGTCATGGTAGAACTGCTATCCAGCCTGCCAGCCCTTGGAAATGTTGGTTAAGTCCATCTTTCTGAAAAGAAGCCGTGTGTGCACCCCACTAGCTCAGAGCATTCTAAAATACCTCTCTCCGTTCCTTCCTTGATCCCATGACTTAACAAGGTATGGATCAGGTAAAACCAGCTGGAGGATCACCACAGCGCAGGGCCTGGTGTCGCTAAGATGACAGCTTGTGTGCTTTGTGGGTGTACCTGTCTCTTTTCTCATTGCTTTGACTGAAAACCTGACAAGAAGCAACTTAGGGCGGTGGCGGGGTGGGGGTGGTGTTCCTGGGTTCCAGTGCGCGGGGATTCAGTCCATGAGGTGGAGAGCCAGTCAGGAAAGCAGGGAGAGATGAATGCTGGTGCTCGGCTTGCTTTCTTCTTTCTATTCAGTTTAAGACCCCAGTGCATGTCATGGTGAAACCTGCATTTAAGGTGCGTTTTCCAACCTCAATGAACTCAATCTAGAATCACCAGGAAGTTGATAATCAGGATTAACCATCCAAATGAGCTTTGGAGAAGAGAGGTAGTCCAGCCATACCCTAACATCCCTTTGCAACTGTCCCTTCAGAGGCCACCGAGTTGAAAACTGCCACGAAAACAGATGTGCTGTGTCAATATGTCACTTTGTGCATGCAGATGTTACTGTAAATGATGCCCTGCTCACCACCCCATAGTGCCTTCGTATCTCCTTCATTTTCGTATCTACTTCATCTGTTGGGCTCTCACAATTCCTATGAAGCGCACAGCATACCTCCACTTCGCAGCAGGGAACCCGAAGGTCAGGGAGGTGAAGGAGTTTGGTTTAATGGAGAATGGTTTCCAAATGCTGAGTCCCTGCATCTCTAAGACTGGGCATCCATAGAGGCTGCTTCTGAGACCTGCCACTGCCTGGGGTGGCCTGGCTAGGTTGGTGGGTCAATCTGGGATGTTGAAAAGGGCATGGATGTTGAAAAGGGCATGGATGTTGAAAAGGGCATGGATGTTGAAAAGGACCAACAATGCTTACCTGCTGGAGACAGCTGCAAGCAGCCCAACAGTCCCAGTTCTCCCCCACAGTGACCATAAACAATGGAAATAGTACTCGCTGTGCAAAGACAACCTTCTAATGGTCTCCCCTGGTGGCCGTCTCCCATGGTTCTCTAAAGGGGCCTTCTGGTCTCCGCTGACCTGAAGGTTGTCCTTGGTGCTCAGTCTCTGTCTTAGGGTCACTATTGCTGTGATGAAACACCATGACCAAAGTGACTTGGGGAGGAAAGGGTTTATTTGGCTTATGCTTCCACATCATAGTCCATCACTGAAGCAAGTCAGGAACTCAAGTAGGGCGGGAACCTGGAGGCAGGAGCTGATGCAGAGGCCATGGAGGGGTGGTGGGGAGGGGTGCTGCTTCCTGGCTTACTCCCCACGGCGGCTCTTTCAGGCTCTTTCAGCCTCCTTTCTTCTAGAACCCAGGACCACACTGCCCAGAGACGCCCCCCCCCCACAGTGGGCTGGGTCCTCCCCCGTCAATCACCAATGACGAAACTGCCCTGCTGGCCTGCCTGTAGACTGATCTTACTGAGGCCTTTCCTCATTTGAGGCCCCCTCCTCTCCAGTGACTTTGTGTCACTGACATAAAACTAGCTAGCACAGTCCCAAGAGGGAACAGATAAAGGGGGAAGCCTTCGGGGCTTCCAGGGCTGGGAAGCCTTCATTCAGAGTCTGGGCCTGGGTACCAGTTCCCTGGCTCCTGGGAGGAGGTCAGAGCAGAACCTCACCTTCCCCGAGGCTGCCGCTCCCCCCACTCACTGGGCACCTTAGGGAGGTATCTCTCTTCCCTCTGTGCCTGCCTTTCAATCCCCTCCCTTTACTGGGAAGCCGTCAAAGGCCCCTCTGAGGCTTCCCTGGCTCTGACCTCTCTAAGGCCAACCTCGGGCCTGACTCTAATGACAGACTGTGTGGACGCGACATACTTTCTGGGAATGCACGAGGTCCTTGCCAAGACACAGGAGGCTTCAAAGAACAAAGGGATCGTTTCTGGTTGTCCTTCAGCAGGCGGGTGACCGTGGCCACTGGCACCAAGACACACATTCTGGGGACAGGCTGGACTTTGTTCCCACCCACACCCCTTCCTTGAGGGAGTCCTTGGACCTCTGTGATTTTGACACACACTTCCCACTCTGTTCTTACTTGGAGGACGGGGTGTCAGCCTAGGAGACATCCAAGTTTTCTCCCATCTGTAATTCGTTTTGCTTTCCTGACCCCCAAAAGTGTTCGGGGAGGGTGACTTAAAGTTTGGGTCTGGAGAGGGAAGGATGGCATTGTCTTGGAGTCAGGTAGCCTTTATGTCGAAGTTCCCATCGGCAATGCTTGACAACCAATAACTTGGAAACCAGACGTGCTCGGAGAGGCCTGGGGACCTGCATGGGCCCTGTGTTGGCAAGAAGCAGCATCTAGTAAGTTTGGATCTGTTGACTCCAAGCACAGGCTTGCACTCCCCCCCCCCCAACACACACACCCTTCCCAGCATTTCAAGCAAAAAGAGCAGGAGCTCCTTGATCTGAGGCAGGGGTGGGCTGCTCCCTGGGGGTCAGGCCCTGGAATTAAAGGGTGTCTGCTGCTGCTGCTGCTGCTGCTGCTTCTATTTATTTTATTTCATGCATATTTTATTTTATGTATATACCTGTTTTGTCTGTTCATGTGTCTGTGCACCACATGAGTGCATGGTGCCCATAGAGGCCACAGGAGGGCATTGGATCCCCTGGAATTGGAGTTATAGATGGCTGTGAGTCACCATGTTGGTGCTGGGAACCAGGCCTGGGTCCTCTAAAAGAACAAGTGCTCTTAACAGAGGAGCCACCTCTCCGGTGCTGTAGGGTCTCTTCTGTCTAGCTGACTTCCTCGTGTGCCAAGAACCGCTGGGGAAAAGAGATTAGCCTTTAGAAATGACTACAAAATTTCAAGAATAGATGTTCCCAGGATGATGACTGTTAAGGATTCTTGGTCCCTGTTTGGTTTCTCTTAGCTGTCTCCGGGGAGTACCCTATTGAGACCTGGGAGCCTCTATCATTCCCAGAGGGGTAGAGACAGTTCCAGAAGCTCCCTGTGGGGTACCTAGGCTTATGTAAGCTTTTTTACTATTCATCTCCAAGTTGACCCAAGAGTGTAGCTCAGTGGCAGAGGATTAGGCCCTGGAGTCCATCCCCAACACTCCCAACAAAACTACAACAGGAAAAAAAAAAAAAAAAAGACTAACAGCAGGCACATTCTCATGGCCTTGGGCAGCGATTAACTCTGGGCCTGAACTTCAGCCACCAGCCTGGGGACTGGCCTGGGATTTGAGCCTCACAGTACTGGCAGGAATGAAGGTGTTCTAAAGAGAAACTTGGGCCCACTCCCTGTGGCTCTCGGACTATTGAACATTAGACCCCAAGAAATTGGAAATTCCCCGGGAATTGCATGCTGGGAGAAGGAAAAGACTGAAGCCTGGTGCCAGCCAGAGAAGAGCTTGTCTCCCAGAGAGATCTCACAATTCTGAGAATTTGCCAGATCACTTTGCAGGAGAGACTGGGACAGAGATAGAGATGGATCAGTGATGGGCAGGGCCACACCTTGACCTGACTGGCTTAGTTATGTAAACCTCTTGCTTTTGGTTTAAACCCAAACCTCATTTTAGGATCCCAATGATGGTTAGTGGTGTGGTGTAGTGTGGTTCACTGGACCTCTTTATTTTTTTCTTCATAATGTGACCACACTGACTGACTCTCCCTTCTCTGTTTTTTTCCATTAACACATTTCTTTAATTGGTCCATTTCGGACAGGTGGCTGAGCAAAACTCACCAGGGCTGCCAAGACCGGGGGTCTGACCCCTAACTCCAGTAAAAACACTGGCATGTGCAGCCAGGCCCAAGGAAGTTGGCAGCTGCTAACCTTGTTGGACCCAGATACAGATCAGTGGGAAAGAGACGTGGTCTCCGCAGAGGAGGGTGATGCACAAAGTGGGTTGGAGGTGGGGAATGGAGGCTCATGTTCACGATCTCTCCTCTCTCCTCAGTACGGCAAGAAGAAGCTGAAATACCTGCCCTACAACCACCAGCATGAATACTTCTTCCTCAGTAAGTGTGACTGCCAGGGGTCCCCAGCCCTGCTCTCACCCCAGTGTTCCCATCTGCCCCATTTCCTCCCATACCCTTTTCAAAACGGCAACGTGACGGCACATCTATTCGAGAGAAGGGTGCCTGCAGCCAGCTTGTGCAGACACCTCTGGACCCTGCAGGTGGTGTCAAGCTGGCCCCCTCACCTCTGACAGGCCATCTGTTCTCCCCACAGTCGGACCGCCGCTGCTCATCCCTATGTACTTCCAGTACCAGATCATCATGACCATGATCAAACGCAGGGACTGGGTGGTAAGTCAAGTGGTGCTGGCTGGCGTGGGTGAGTGTGACTGGGGCACCTCACCCCTGGTGCCTCTGTGGGCCTGCGAATCCCCAGACATCTCTCCCAAAGCGAGCTGCTTTGTCACTCTTAGGAAGGACCTGTCCTGAGGTCACCAGAGCCAAGAAAGTCAAGAAGGCTGCAGCATGTCAGTTCTAAAGATGCCTCCAATGCAGACATGCAGGGAGTCTACCTGGCAGTCATTGCCCTTGCAGAGTCCCTTAGAAAGATCCAGAAGGCGACGTGACGAGAGGCTAACACAGCCCACTGGAAGTAGATAGCCTCAGCAATGGAAACATATTTTCTCAATCCCTGGAGGCCAGAAGTCTAAAATCAGTTGACAGCACCCTGGGGAGTGGGGGTGGGGTGGGCCCATGCCCCTCTCCTTAACTGGTAGATTTGTCTCTTTATATCATCCTCCTAGGCCTTTTTGTATGTGTGTTCAGGTGTTCCCCTGTTTTTCTAATGTGTATTTGTGTGTGTCTATAGGTGCATGTGTATATGTGTAGGTGTGCTTACATGTGTGTGCATGTGGAAGCCAAAGGACAGCTGTCGTAGTTACTTTTATGTTGCTGTGACAAGACACCATGACCAAGGTGACTTCTAAAAGAAAGAGTTTATTGGGGGATTATAGTCTCAGAGGGTGAGAGTCCATGACCACCATGGCGGGACTCATTGCTGCAGACAGGCGGGCATGGCACTGGAGCAGTAGCTAAGACCTCACATCTTGAGACACAACTATGAGGCAGAGTGTTAATTGGAAATGATGTGAACTTTTGAGACCTCAAAACCCATCCCCAGTGACACAGCTCCTTCAACAAGGCCACACCTCCTAATCCTTGCCAAGCAGTTCCACCAACTAGGCACCAAATATTCAAATATATGAGCCTCTGCAGGGGCATTCTCATTCAAACCACCACAGGAACCTTAGGTGCCACTTCCTTTGAGGCAGGGTCTCTCACTGGCCTGGAGCTTACAGATTAGGCTGGCCTGTCCAGCAAGTGCCAGGATCTGCCTGACTTTCTCCCCAGTGCCAGGATTACAAGTACGGGCCATGGTGCCCAGCTTTTGTTTGTCAGTGGGCATTAAAGTTGCAAGCACTTTACCAACAGAGCTGTACCCTTAGCTTTGTTCCTTTCTTATAGGACAACATTCGTCCTATTGCATTAGGACCCATCAGAATGACCTTGTCTTAATGAGTTCTATGAGCAAGGGCTTTAGCAATGTCTGAAGACATTGCCTTTTGAGGTGCTGGGGCTTAGAATGTCAGTGTATGAGTTTGGAAGGTGTGTTAAGAGTTCTCTACAGGAACAGAACTGACAAAATGAATGCACGCGCGCATGCACACACACACACACACACACACACACACACACACACACACACACACACACACACGGGATTACCAGAGAGGCTTATAGGGAAGGGTCAGAGTAGTACAATGGCTGTCCCTAATGGAAAAGCCAAGAATCTGGTATTGTTCAGCCCATGAGACCGGATGTCTCGGCAGTCCTGCTGTGGTGCTGGAGTCCCAGAGGATTCCTGGAGAGCAGATTCTAACATCAATGAAGGAATGCCACAGCAAAAGGATAGACGAACTGGCCAGCAAGAGTGAGGGCAAACAGGCAAAGAGCAAAAGCTTCAGTTTTCTGTGATTCTTTTAGTTGATTCCAGATGTCCAGTTGACAACCAAGATTAGCCATCGTAGAGGGCATGTTCCTACCTAAAACAATAGACTTAGAGGGACCTCCTGGGAGGGAGGGAGGCTGTGTGTAGGTTTGAGGAGGCCTGCTTGGGTTTGCATAGTACAGTTGTGATTTTTGTACAAGGTGAGTACCTACCCCTGGCAGAGTAAGCTCTAAGGAGTGGTCACCACAAGCAGAGAGTTAGCTCTGAGGGAAATACGGTCCCTGGCCTCAGGAGAGAACAGACAAGTGCACGGCCCCTTAGCGTGGGTGTGTTCTCAGCCTTTTAAAATCACATCAGTGGCCGGGCGGTGGTGGCACACACCTTTAATCCCAGCACTTGGGAGGAAGAGGCAGGTGGATCATTGTGAGTTTGAGGCCAGCCTGGTCTAATAATGAGTGCCAGGCCAGCCAGGGATACAAGATAAGGCTGTCTCAAAACAAAATAAACAACAACAAAACAAACAAACAAAAAAACCAGCATCATCAATGAGAACAACAACAAAGTTTCACAATGAGAATTACTGAGACTGAAAGCTTGTGCCTTGCCCAATCTGACCCCGAGGGATACAGTGAACTCCTAACGCCACATCCTTGTACCCTCCCTTCCCACACTTCTTCCACACAACAGCACCTCATATCTACAGGGCATCTTCGAGCGTGTGTGTGTGTGTGTGTGTGTGTGTGTGTGTGTGTGTGTGTGTACACCATATCCTATGCATATGCACACACATATTATGCACACCCATGTACAGCTACTGTGTTTTGTGCTGTCGTGAGCGTTACAGTCATTGTGTGCCTGTGCTTGTGGCGGCCAGATGACAACCTTAGGTGTCACCTTTAGGAACACCATTTTTACCTCCTTGGGGACAGGGCCTCCCACTGGCCTGGAGCTCACTAATCAGGCTAGACTGGCTGCCACAGAGCCCCAGAAATCTTCCCGATCTTGTCTCCTAAATGCTGGGATTACAAGCACCCATCACCATTCATGCAGGGGATCCTGGGGGATCAAACTCAGGTCCTCAGTTATGAGAAAATGAGCCATCTTTACATCCCTAGATCTGTTTTGTTGTTGTTGTTGTTTGTTCCACAAAGAGTAAAAGCATCAACCAGGAAGAGCAGGAAGGGAAATCAAACCATGTACCTCAAGAGCATCAGAGGGCAGAGCCAGGGGACTCTGACAGGCTCCCAGGCCTTGCATCCTGAGCAGCTGTAACCAGGTCCTGGGCAGTTCATTGGGCCATTGGCAGTATCTGGAGACACTTATGATGATCAGATTTAGCAGTAGGAAGATGATGCTAGCCTGGCATCTAACCAAGAGGGGTGGTAAACATCCCACAAAGCATAGAAGCCCCATGGTGAAGAGTCATCTTTTACTGGCACACACTGAGGGCTGGGAGACCCTAGCCTTGAGGATGGAGATGGGAAGCCCTAAGAGTTGGAAAGAGTGCTTACGATCCAGCACAGGCACCTGCAGCACCACCTGGGGTACTTTTCAGACCCCACTTTCCTGGGACTGATTATCCATGGCTACTTACCCTGGTAGTCTCCCTGTTGTTTACCAGCCTTCACCTCTCAGGCTCTCCATCCATTTATTTATTTACTTACTTAATTTTGAAACAAGACCTCACTGTATTGCCCAAGCTAGCCTTGAACTCACAAGCTTCCCGCCTCTACTTCCCAAGCCATGCCTGGCATTTACTTCTCCTTCTCTCTTTCTCCCTCCCTCCCTCCCTCCCTCCCTCCCTCCCTCTCTCTCTCTCTCTCTCTCTCTCTCTCTCTCTCTCTCTCTCTCTCTCTCTCTCTCTCTGTATGTGTGTACCACATCCTAGCATATGCACACACACATACCTACATACTTGTGCCTTGCATTTATGCAATAGATTAAAGTGGGGCTGAGGATGTGGCTCAGTGACAGAGTGCTTGCCTAGCATACATGAGGCCCTGAGTTCAAACTCTGCCCAGGAAAGAAAGAAGGATGACCAAGTATGGCAAGAGTTTGCTGTACCTGCTTCTCTTGACCAAAGCCACCACCTCGCCAGATCTGAGCATCTTGTCTTCAGCTACTCCTAACTGTTTCATTTGTTCCTACTCCGGCCCTCCTGAGATGCCCACCCCCTTTCCTACTTAGTTGACAGCACTCTGACCACCTGGAATGGCGCTAGGGACCAGCCTCAATTCTTTGCAACCAAGAAAGCACTGACGAGGGCCGCCCTTGTTCTCTAAGTCATTCTGGAACCCGCCATGTCTTCATCGTCGATGTGGTCCTGGTTTTGTTCTCCATTTTTGTGCCTGAACTAAGACACCAATGTGCCAGATTCTATTGTCATTTCAGGATCTTTGGTTTGGTTTTGGTGGTGCCCACAGAGGCCAAAAGAGGACATCAGGTCACCTGGAACTAAGGTTACTGATGCCTGTGAGCCTCTGTATGGGTTCGAACCTGTGTCCTCTGGAAGAGTAGCCAGTGCTCTTAACCAGTGAACCATCTCTCCAGCTCCTCTTCAGGGTTTTTCCACTGCCTCGGAGAGTCCGGTCCTTGATAAAATATTCTGCATAAGCATAGGCTGGGCATGAGTATTCCTGACTGCAAAAACAGTTTGTGCAAAGGCCCTGAGAACTGGGTCAGGGTGCTGAGGCAAAGGGACTTCTGGATCCTGCAGAGCTCTATGGCCACTTGGATTACATGGGAGGGTCTTGTAGCAGAGAGCTGGGATCTGCTTGCAGCACAGGTCATTGGTTGCCCTGGATTTGTGAGAACCATCAGCAGGAGAGAAAAGGGAGGTTCTTGCTATGGTCCAGCCAAGACACCTGGGTTGAGTGGCAGAGGAAGTGGAAAGACATGGATTTCTCTGCAGAATGACTGCTTGTGGACCTGTGACAGAGGGCAGAGACTTCCCAGGAGAGAGATCCAAGCTTAGGACCTTGCTGCCAACCCCAAGGAGGGGCAGACAACATGAAGAGGGGAGAGGGTCCCAAAAGAGAGTCCAACCTGGGGAGTGACCTGGTCTGGGTTGCAGGAAGGGGGGGCGTGTGTCTCGTGGTCCTTTCCCTCCTAAGAAAGGAAGGCAATCCAGATACCTGAGCAGGGGCAAGGCTGAGGATGGCCAGTGACCTGGTCACATGTTGGGAGCTCACATTACAATCCTCTGGACCTACTGGTTACCTGCTAGCCAATATCCCATTTCTTTCCTGAAACTCACGATGCAAACCCCATGTGAACAGGTGGTTTAGGCAAGTGTCTGACCGTGTATGGCCCAGTGTCCCAACGTCCTAGCAACCTGCTGTGGTTTTTTCTGAACACCTGTGCCAAGCAGTGTGAGCTGTGTGTACACATGCCTCTGTGGTTAGGTGCACTATGCCAAGTAGGGTGGGGCAGGTTAAGTCTGATCTTATTTCCCCTACAGGACTTGGCCTGGGCCATCAGCTACTATGTGCGTTTCTTCTACACCTACATCCCTTTCTATGGCATCCTGGGAGCCCTGGTTTTCCTCAACTTCATCAGGTACCCCAGCTTTGCTGGCTCACCCTGTGCTTTTGAGAGCCCTGACTTTGAGGTGTGAACCCTGTACCTGCCGTGGGGGTAGGGTAGGTACAGTGGGTCTGTTTCTGTGCGGCTGCCTGTCCCCCACCCTGAGGCTTCAGCACTGAGCTGCACCGTCTTCTAGGTTCCTGGAGAGCCACTGGTTTGTGTGGGTCACACAGATGAACCACATCGTCATGGAGATTGATCTTGATCACTACCGGGACTGGTTCAGCAGCCAGGTGAGGGACGGCAAAGGCCGTCACAGGGACCCTGCAAAGCCCTGACCTCACTGTCCATGCCTTCACCCACACCTGCCTGCCTCAGTGGATCCAGGGCTGTGCTGGGCTTCCCTAGGACTACTTGTAGCCTGTTGGCGGCCTCAGAGTTGAGCAAGAAAGGGTGGTGGGAAGATTAGGGATGGCTCAGTTGGTGCTTGTCTAGCATGCAAACAATCCTGGGTTTGATCTCGGACACCCAATAAACCCAGTATGGTGGCCCATACCTATCATCTTAATACTTGGAAAGTGGAGACAGAAGGATCAGGAGTCCAAGGCCAGACTGAGTTAAAAACAACCCAGAAGAAAATATGGAAGGAGTGGTAGGAATCTTCCAAAGGATCTTCAGGGAATCTGGGTGGGCTGAGGCTTCCAGGTAGAATAGTATGACCTAGAGAGGTGACCCTGAGACCCTGGGTAAGGTGACCTTTATGAGGTAAGTCTAGGTCCTTTGGTTTTCTTCTCACCCCCAGTCACGTATCCCCTGTCCCCTCTGCAGCTGGCAGCCACCTGTAACGTGGAGCAGTCCTTCTTCAATGACTGGTTCAGCGGGCACCTCAACTTCCAGATTGAGCACCAGTGAGTGTGACCTGGCAAGGAGAGGGGGAGTGGGGGGGGAACAAGGAGGTGGGGGAGGGAAGACAAGGAGTGGGAGGGGCAGTCGCCAGCCCATGGGCCAAGGTTGCCATGCAGGTTTATCTTCTCTTGTTGGCAAGGCCACTGCCCCATCCGAGAACATGGCTGGGCAGGAGAGGGGCTCTGGGATCAGTGTGTCCTGGAGGCATTGTTACCCAGGCCCTGTGCCACACGGCCATCCTGGGGACTGTGCTACTTTACGTGCGGCCACTTTGCAGATACAGAAAGCTTGCAAGACCATCTCACAGTCCTATAATGCTCCCAGGGCTGAGACACTCACTCCCAGTTAACTGACTGGGAAACTGAGGACCTGCATGATAGCCTGTCTGGTGCTCAGGCGGCCACATGACTGTCCCCAGTGCATTTTCCTTTGTCTCGTCTTTTGTCATTTTCTTCCCATCTCATCTCCCATTTGTTCCTTCATGTCCTTTTTTTTTTAAGCTGAACTTACAGGTGTCTTCCGCCTTGTTCTCCCAAATAATGAAACCACAGGCCTGAGCCATAACACTCAGATTGGTTTCTTTTTCTTTTTTAAAAACATGAGACCCTTGTCTCTGACTGTGCAATACCAATATGGCTTTCTGGAGTGCCCCTGCTCATGAACTGCCCCTCTACGCATCACTAGTGATCCCTGTAGACAGCTGGTAGGAGCTGCATAGTCTTATCTGGGTTGCAGATAGGGCCTCAGACCTGCCTGCCTCCCTGGGCTGTAGGGAGGGGTGGAGAGCATGGGTCCTGCATTGCACTCACTCTGCCCACCTGCCCCCAGCCTCTTCCCCACCATGCCACGGCACAACTTGCACAAGATCGCCCCACTAGTGAAGTCTCTCTGCACCAAGCATGGCATCGAGTACCAGGAGAAGCCACTGCTGAGGGCCCTGCTGGACATTGTGAGGTGAGGGGTGGACTTGACAGGTGCTGAGGCTCTGAGGCATCGGAAGGGGCCAGCGATGCAGTGGGGCTGAGGAGGTGAGAAGCACATGGCTGGTCTTACTCACAGTCGACTCTAGCTCACAGTGGGGATTACTGACCTCTGGTCCACTCAGGACTGGAAGAGGAGCTCCTCTCTCTCCTTTCCCAGGGGTTTCCCTAGAAAGCGTTAGTCAGTAGCCCAAAGCCGCTGTGGTAAGTGGCAAGCCCTGGCCAGTAGCTGAGATGAGTAGCCCGACTTCCCTCATGTCCCACTGCCTAGAAGCCTTGGTCCCTTTCCATCCTGGTTCCTGAGCCCTGGTCTTCTCTCTCTTTGCAGTTCTCTGAAGAAGTCTGGGGAGCTGTGGCTGGATGCGTACCTCCATAAATGAAGCAGCAGTCCTCAGGCACCCTCAGGGAAGGGGCACAGTTGGGGTGATGGCCAGAGGGAGGGAAGGGCTTTTGTTCTGAAGGGTTCTCATGAAGTGTCCGCTGGCTCACATTCCCCATGCTTGCTCTTTCATCCTTTCTTGTTCTCCCCCGACCCCCATCCTAGCCTCATGGGGTTCCCCTGTGTCAGCCCCAGCTCTGTCCCCTCTGCTTCCCAGGCCCTTCTCCCAGAGAGCAGGAGAGAGGTGACTGGAGCAGGTGGTACATCTCTGTCTCTGCACCTCCAGATCCCTGGTGTAAGACTCCGCCCCTTGCAGCCTAGCCACCAGACCTTCGTCTGCACTCCCTTCTGTCCTACAGACACGCTGGGGGGCTGTGCAGCAGGGTCCAGGACTGGCCCTACACTCCCTGCTTGTTTGGGTGAAGACATACTTTGTGTTCTGGGCGTCCTTCCCATGGCTGGGATTAGTCCGTAGGGTCTCCCTCCAGCCGCCCAGGGCCAGCTCAGACCTTGGTGCCCAAGGAAACGTCCTCGCACGCCCATCATCACAGCTCCAGGTCCTGGGGTTGTGCGGGTTCTAGTTCACCATCTACCCAACTCCAGGGACCAAAAGGAGTGTCCCTTGTGTGGGCTCAGCAGAGGCAGTGGCCAGGTTGAAGGAGGGACTGGCCAGCCTGGAGCCCTAACCCATCTCCCACTCTGGCCTGATGCTTTTAATCCTCTGGCCAGTCCCTGACGCTTGGTCTAGAGAATGTGGACCTTGCAGGAGAGCCCCCGAGCTGCTCCCCCGGGATAGGGCTGCCAGTCTGGCCAGCATGGCCAGCACCTGGCTCTTTCCTAACTTTCCAATTTTGTTTGTTTTAGATGTTGTTGTGTTAACATCTCCAACAGAACACTTTTTGATAGGAGGGTGACAGAGGGCTGGGCTTTAGGACAATCTACCTTTACCAGATGCCCCTTGCTAGGCTCCCCTAAGGCCCTTCGGGTAGAGCTGGGCTTCGCCATCAAGGCCACAGTATAAGCTGCGGCTTGAGGCTGCTGCTCTCAGGGCAGGAAAAACAGGGTGGGGTGGGGTGTCTCAGGAGGGCTGTTGGGGGTACCCAGCGAGGATCAAGCAGGAGTGTAGAGGGAAGGGGAGGTCAGGGAGGCTGAGGGCATGAGGGAAGTGTTTTGGCGGGTGGGAGGGGGGATGTCGGCTGTATCAGGAGGGGACCCATGCTGTGTCATTCTGAGATCTAACTGACTAACCAATATTTAAATCGGAGGAAGGGGGCTTGGCCTGCACTGGAGAAGCCCTCCAGGATGCCCAGCCAAGAGAGACCAGCTGCTGTTACTCCACAGAGGCAAAGAACCCACAAGAAGCTGATCATAATTTGTATCACATTGTTTCCCCACCTCTACTTTTTTTGGGAAATAAAAAAAAAGTAATTTTATTCTCACTTGCCTGTAGCTCAGTAAGGTCAATGGACGACTAATGTTCTTGTATGCTAAGGTCACGGGTACGGTAAAGCAAGGTCTGAGAGGAAGGGAGGCATTTGCCTCACAGGAGAAAGAAAGGCCTGACAGTTAAGGCAAGTAGCAAATAGAACCCTGGTCCTATTTTATGCTGCTGTGCCCATATGGATGCTTGGTGAGTCTCTACAGCCTGGGGAAGGCCCGTATCATCCCAGCCCTGGTTACTGTTCATATGCAGGGGACTCTGCTCTTAGGTCTGTCTGACCTCCAGCCTGGGAAGCCAGAATAATCTATAGCGGAGGTACTTGCCCAGTTCACCCTGTGATTAGACCCATGCTGCTGCTCTCCGAGGAGCAGAGGCTCAGCGGGTCTGACAGGCTCAGTGGCCCAGCGGGTCTGACAGGCTCAGCGGGTCTGACAGGCTCAGCGGGTCTGACAGGCTCAGCGGGTCTGACAGGCTCAGCGGGTCTGACAGGCTCAGCGGGTCTGACAGTCACTTGAAATGTGTCAGGGAAGAGCTGTCAGGCATGTGGTGGCCAACACTCGCCTCAGAGCTGCTCCCAGCAAGGTTGGGGAGAGCTCCAGCAGAGATCTCATCCCCATGGATGACCCCAGGCCTGAGCCAGATAGGTACAGGGGTAGTAGCCATTGTGTGGGAGTGATTCCCAGTGACCACACTGTGGCTAGAACAGGGCCTGGGGTGGCAGACATTGTCACTGATCCGCTGACTGGCCCTGGATGAGTCCTCTGCCACCTCATCTCCAGGACCCTCGGTGCCACAGTTTCCACACTGAAGATAAGAAAGGCTTGAGCGAGAATGATTCCAAGGTTGCTGCTGACTTCTGTTCATCCCCACGGGCCCTGGCCTCACCTGAGTGATAAGCCCACTGGAGACCTTAGAGGTGGCAGGCTCTGTTGAACACATCTTCAGTACTTACCTATGTCTTCTACTTGCTACTTGGGCTGGACCTGGCCCCCCAACACCCAGTATGACTCAGGCCAAACTCTGCCTGCGAACTGTGAATCTGGTATCTATGGCATTTGACACCCAGAGATCTGGGGAGCAGGAGGGTGATTGAGAGGAACATTGCAGGGCTAGGTGGTCTCAGCTGTGAAGGGGCCAGGGAAATCTAGGCCCACACCCTTGAGCTTGTCTTCTCTATGGTAACACTCTTACCTTACATCACACATCCTAGATCCCGCCTCGCCCTTGATCACTACCTAAGGTCCAGAGCTGAGGACACCTGTACCTGCTCCTCTCTTATCACAGTGCTCAGCTGAGGCTCTTGACCAATATCCCCAAATTTGTGGGGTTCTGTCCCCTACCAAAGTTATGACCCTAATATCCAAAGTCCACAGTAACCAAACCCTAACACCTCCCAGGCCAAGATGCTAAGACCAGAGAGGGAAAGTACTCACCCTGAGTCAGCACAGTGACAGCAGCTGACTCAGAGCATACATGGGAAATCTGTGCTTGGCCATCTCTTCCCCTTTCCCCCATCATGCCAAATGTCATACTGTACAGGAGGCCCTGTGGGTAGAGGCACAGTGGGGTGGCTAGTTCAGGTGGAGGAGACGATAAGGAATAGGGTGCTACTGGAAAAATTCCCTACCAGCTTCAAGGTAGTATGAGCATCAGATCCAGAGGTGGGGCTGTTGGAGCAGTGTGGAGATCTGTGCGTGTGTGTCTGTGTGTACAGCTGGAGGCCCAGAGGTGATGAGCAGCTTGACTAGTTCCTCATACATCCAGCTGAACACACAGGAGGCCTTCAGGGCCACCGGGAGGGGAGGGAAGACCTCTGGCAGGAAGGTTTGGAGAAGAGGTTGCAGTCACTCGGACGAGCTTGAGCTACCACATCTGGAGCCCACTGAGGCTCCGCTGGCTTTGCCATGCTGACTTGGAAAGGATGATACTGCTGTGAGATGGAATAGGCAGCAGTGGTCCCCGAAGATCATCTGGTGACCCGTGACTGCGCTACAGGAAATCTGCTGTAGCTGCTGGGCGCCAGTGTTCTTTTGATTGACAGGATTTTACATTTCTAGCCAGACTGGCTTTACAATAAAGAGAACACACAGCCACCCAGTGTTTTAGGACATCACAGTCATGGCCCTAATGTCCTCTGCTGTCATCAATGCTTTTCTTTGGACGTTGAAGGCATTTGGGTCTTTCCTCAGACCTTTTGGTTCAAGAGCTAATGTTCAAGAGAGCCAGTAACAGGAAGCAGGGCTTGGAAAGTGTTGAGGTCTTTAAGGACACAGTATGTTTGCACACTGTCCTTTCTCAAGGCCTTTATCTCCCCACTGCCAACCACACCCACAAAGGCAGAGGCTGGTTCATGGGAGCCGGCCACGGTTGGCTGTTGGTGGACTGAAAGAACAAACAAGCCGTGGCTTCCCCCAGGAAGCTTTATTTCTGGACCCAGGACTGTTGTATAGACAATAAAAAGGGGGGCAACGGGGTCTTTCAACGGTGCCAACAAGGCCTTTTCCTGGCCCACTGGTAGGTACAGTCTATGTATGATCTATGCATCTTTGCTCTGAGAAACATGCAGGCAGGGAAGTGGGACTCAGATGAGTGGAGGTGACCCACTGCCATAGCAAAGATGACAGAGGGAAAGAAGGGACAAAGAGAACCTGTCAATAATGGGCTCCAGGCAGAAGGGGTCTCTGTGAGGGTGTTTTATTAGGTAACTCTGGATTTGGAGGGAGAGTGCACTCCCCTGAGCCACCACTAGGGGCAGCATGGCACACAGTCCACGTCCACACTGCAGTTGTGTGGATACCCCTGGGGGGTGCTGCAGGCTTAGTGATTCCTCTGACCAGGACATGTCTCTGAGCATCTTAGGATACCAATAGAACTCTGACCATTTGCCAGTGTGTAGACAAAGTGCTGCCAGACAGTATGTGAAGGGAATGCCCTCCGGAGCCCTTCCTGGATTGGCCATACCTATGTAGCACCAAGGATGGAGAGGGGACTTCTGGAAGTGGGAACAGTCAGCACAGAGAGACAGTGTGACAAACTCTGGGCATAAGAAGTTTGCTTTTGAGGCAGGAAGTAGTTTCTTTTTTAGCGTTAGGGCTTGGACGGGCCTAAACATGCTAGACTATCAATCTTACTGCTGAGTTACATCCCCAGACCCTTTAAAATAGTTATTATTATCATCTTGAGACAGGATTTCATTAAGTTGCCTTCGCTGCCTTTGAACTTGTGATCCTCCTGCCTCAGCCTAAGTAGCCTGGATTACAGGTGTATGTACAGGGCTTTGAAGCATCTTTCAGGGGATATTACCTGAGGAGGAAAATGAAGTCCAGAGAAAGCAAAGGGCTTGTTTCAAGGCACAAAGTAGTTAGCCCAAGGGCATGGGATCATGTGCACAAGGTTTATAAATACACTTCTGAGCCCAGCCTTTTGCTAAGAGCCTTCCTGGGACATCATTTTTGTGTCACCACTTTGGAAGTGATCCTTTGGCTTTGAGAGCTTGAATTCCTTCCCTGAGGTCAGGCAGCCTCAGGTCCTCACAGACACATGACTTAGCCCTCCACAAGCCCCATCCACCTAATCCCAGGGAAAGGGAGGTGGAAGCTAAATGGAATGGATCAAAGTGAGTACCGAGCAGATGATGGTGCCGCCCACCTGTTTCCCTAGCTTTCTCCAGGAGACTCCTGCTGGCACTTCCCTGGGCAATGAGGTCACAGGGAGCCTTACATTGCCTACTGCAGGTCTGGAAGGTAATGGGAATGGAGGAAGACCATCAGGTGCTCTCCTGGCCCAGGGTGAGAAAAGAAGGATGCTACGCATCCAGTCTCTGTCATGCACTCTGAAAGCAGGCCAGGCTCTGGGAACCCTCTAGTCCCTGACAGTGAGCTGAGCTGGGCAGGGAAGGAATTCTGTGGGTTAGGAGGACATCCCGGAGGGGCAGAGCCCAGGAAACTAGGCACAACTCATGGTTTCTGTGAACATCAAGGGGCTTTGGAACAGTCAGGTTCCACAGAGCAGGACCAGGGAAATGTGTGACCAGAACTACAATGTTTGTGGCCTTCCCTCTCAAAGACAGCACAGTCTGGAGCAGTGGGGGTGCTGGACAAAAGTGGGAGGCAGTCCCCACAACTGGTGGGGAGGCCTCAGCTCCCTCAGGAGACCCCAGCTCCGTATTTTCACTGTGCTTGCTGCTGCCTAGAGCTGCTGAAACTTCTTTAAAGAAGATCTGCAGCCCAGCTTGGAGCCATGGAATGTCTGTGCTGGGGGCAAAAGGGTCCACCATGCCCTCTCTTTTCTTCTCACCAAGCTTGGCTCTAGGTCAGTAGTAGAGTACTTGTCTAGGATGTCTAAAGTACTGAGTTTGATTTTTTAGCACTAGGGGAAGTATGCCCTCCCAAACTGGGGTGCTTAGTATAAGTAGAAGGGAACACCCTTAGCACTTTGCAGGTAGAGAACCAAGATTAAGTAAAATCTCCCCCTAGAGATGTCCAAAAGTTGATAGGTACAGTCAACTGCACCCATTATCCAGACAGGGATCCCGACGCCAAGTGGGAAGCTAGTCCCTGCTCAAGAAACAGTCCTCAGATTCTAAGGACTTAGGGACAGAATGGCCACACCTGAGTTCCTGCCTATTCAGCTCTGCAACCGTTGTACCATGCCAAGTCTGGCAGAGATCTCCACTACTGGACCCTCCTGCGTGGAGGATTAGAGGAGGCCAGTGCCAATGCAGGGGCTTTCCCATCCCACAACTCAGAGTCACCTGCAGATGTGACCCTCAACCCCAGGTCCTTGAGTATATAACTCACCCCAGGGTGCTGCTGAGAACAGGAAGGAACCAAGCCCTGAGGTGGAGCCGAGCTGCAGCAGCTGTTGCCTCCACGACCCAGAGCACCCAGGGTGGAGGGGGAACTCCTTACATTCTGTCCCATCGCAACACTCTGACGCCCCCTCTGGAAAGTCTGAAGCAGATCTGGCTCCAAAATCCATGAAAATTCAACACTTGGCTCCATGTGTCTGGGTTGCTTTTTATATAAAAATAACAAGCTTTCCTTCAGTTCTTGCTCTAGGAAAACATGCTATGTTCACCATGTAGCTTTAAGTGTGTCCCTCCACCCCGGTCCTGTTGGACATGTGCCACGGCCATAAGGCTCTTGAACAGAAAATGCTGAGGACTGAGGAAAGCCAGCAGGACCAGGCAGGCAGACAGGCTGCCCCAGCAGGGGGTGAGGAGGGCTGTCGATCTTGCCCAGTAGCTTGGTGACTGCTGGAGTCTGTACCCTTACCCCCTTCGCCACCCATGAGGGTGCTGTCTTCATTGATGGAGGTATGCATCCAGCCAGATGTCACCAGACTTCTTCAGGGACCTGAGAGTTGGGGATGGGGGTCAGGGACTCAACTGGAAGGTATTAGCATCCCCCTGCACCCCATAAGGAGTGTTGAGTAAAGACATCCTTGTGAGTTCCCATCCCCCCTGGGACAGACAGGCGGCTGTGTGGGGCCAGGTACTCATTAACCAGAGTGGAATCTGGACTGCAACAGGGAGGTGAGTGGCAGATGGCCAGATCCAGTTGTGGGCCTCAGTGGGCCTGGCCATCATTCACCTGGTTCTCCCTGCTACCTCTCCCTTTTGGACTCCGCCACCCAAAGGCGTGGGACACAGAACCTGCCCCATCATGATCCCACAAATAAGAACAGGAAAAGAATAATGTAGAGATGCCTGCAGGTCTAGAATCCAACTTCCATTTCCCCCCCTCCAAGGCTGCTTCTGAGGGCTGAGCCCTCCCCCCACCCCCTTCCACGCCTGAACAGATACCAACAGCCTGGCCTTCCCCTTTCTGCTTCCACTTTTGCTCAGAGTGCATGCCCACTTAGAGCATCTCTGCAAGATGTGAACGTCAGGTGGTCTCTCCTCTCAGTGGAGGAGAGACCCACAGATCGGCACATTCCTGCCTGAGGGCCTCTGCAGGGCCTCTTCTGGAACACTCTTTAGCCAGGTGCCCTTTCCCCAGTGACCAGCTGTCTCCCGGCTTCTTGCCTCTGCTCACACGCACCCACGTGCCTCCTGCTCCTCCACACTTTGCACCTGCGATGCCATAAACAGTATTACACCCTTTGCCTGATCCTCCACATCCTCTCTCCCGCCTCCACCCTAGGTTTTCATTCTTGTTAAGCTATTAAAATGGTTCTCAAGTTTTGTCATGTACTCTTTAACTGCGCACATGTGAGCAAATGCATGCGCACGCACACACACACACACACACACACACACACACACACACACACAAACACTGTGTGTGTTTGTTTATGGTATGAACACATGTGAGGTTGATGCTCAGCGTCTTCTTATTGCTTTTCCATCTTATTTTCTGAGACAGGGCCTCTCACTGAAACTGGAGCTCACTGGCCAATAAACCCTACAGGGATCCCGCTCCCGCCTCCCCAGTGCTTGGATTACAAGCACATGTCATCATTCCTGGCTTTTTACACGAGTGCCGGGGATCTGACCTCGTCTTTGTCCTTATACAGAAAGCACCTACTGAGCCATCTCCCCAGCCCTACAAATGCTTGCTTTGTTTCCCTTCTGTCTCCCAGGAGGCAGAAACCTTTCAGCCTATGACTTGCTGCCATATTTGTAGGGCTCCATGAGTTCTCCACTCTGGGGGGAAAGGAGAACATTGGCTGATCAGGAAAGGTCTAGAAAGCCAGTTCTCAGGAAGGGCCGTCTCTGAGGGCCAGGTGCAAGGAAGATGCTGACCATGTCAGGAGTGAGCATGGAGCCTTGGGAAAGACACATGTACTAACATGCAACCTGAGGGGCCCAGTGCAGCCTTACCCGATGATATCCACCAGGGCGGTGAGGAAGGGTTTCACCTCGTAGTGTAGGCCGTGCTTGGTGCAGAACGCCTTGACCAGGGGGGCCACCCTGCGGTAGTTGTGCCTTGGCATCGTGGGAAAGAGGCTGGGAGGGCAGGCCAGATTGAGTAGGGAGCTGCCAGAGGGAGCCCGCCTACTCCTCACCTTCCAGGCCACATCTTCCAGGGATCTCACAGAGATGAGTCCTGGGCCCTGGTTTTGGCCTCACCCTGAACCCAGCAAGCCCTACAGGCCACACTTACTGGTGCTCAATCTGGAAATTGAGGTGCCCACTGAACCAGTCAATGAAGAGAGAAGGTTCCACATTGCAGGTGGCTGCCAGCTGCCAGGGGAAGGAGGGGTACAAGTGAGGGGAGCTGACTCAGAACCTTGACCCCACCACCTGGCAGCCTCAACAAGGCCTGATCCCTCCCAGTCCATGACTCCCCAGTTGGCATATCCTCCCACCAGGCTCCCCAGGACCTACCTGAGAGCTGGCCCAGTCCCGGTGCTTCTCATGGCCAATCTCCTTGGGGATGTGGTTCATCTGTGTGATCCACACAAACCAGTGGCTCTCCAGGACCCTGTGAAGGAGGCTTTGGCACTGCCCTGTATCCAGCTCAGAGTGGAGGCTGGCATACATCCAGCTGAACCCTGACCTGGGTCCCAACTTCCCCATCTGTACGACGGAGTTGTCTAGTTGCTTCCGCCTTGACATTTAGAGAAACTTATAGAGCAGTGTCCCCAGTGAGGCTAGGGGCCACCCACCAAGCCAAGCTGCTCTCCTCAGACCCGCCAGCCCCAGGGTCTGGCCACCCTGCTAGTGTTTGATTATCCCAACAGCCACCTGAAGAGGTGGTACTGGCCCCCATCCTGCAGAGGGACAACAGGCGAGGCTGGCTGGCTGTGGTCAGGGTCCCCTGCCACCTGTGTGAGACCTCCCCGCTCCCTGTCACTCTGGATCTGGCCATACCTGACAGCAACGAAGAGCAGCAGTGTCCCGGTTGCGCCATAGAACGGAGCATAGGACAAGAAGAAGCGGGAATAGAAACTGGCCGCCCACAGCAAGTCCTGCGAGGACGAGAGAGGAGATGCTGAGTGGCCTCCATGGATCGGGGGAATCGGGAGGCAGGAGGAAGGGCAGGGCTCATTCAACTCTCTCTTTCCTTTGCTTCGGGGCTCCAGTCAGGCCACTGCCCCTCACTGGGCTTCTGCCTTCATGGCTGAGTAAAAGGACAGGGAACCTGCCTTCTCATCAGTTAGGGCTGACCACGGTGGCGACCCAGCCCGTGCCTGGGATACAGGTGCCTGGCAGTCAGTCCAGGGATTCTCCCCACGAGGAGGGAGCCCCTTTACAGAAGAGACCCAAAGGGTGCATACTCTCTTCTTGCACACACACACACACACATACGCCCATTCACACTCAGGGGTGGACAGTGCTGTCCCCTGAAGCCCTCTCCCAGAAGGCCACATGCTTGTGGTCCCGAGCAGTGCCACTCACCGTCCACTGCATGCACACCAGCATGTAGGCCAGATTTTCAACTTCAAAGTTCACCAAGGTGAGCAGCGGTGGGCCAACTGCAAGAAGGGAGCGCAGGGGCATGCAGTAACAGGGGTGGGGTACCCAGGTGGAGTGGGCAGAGGAGAGAAAAGGCTCTTCCTCCAGGAACACCCATTGGATACAAACGTGGACCTATCCACTGAGATGACCTCCCAGTTCTCCCAGGGCCCAGATTGTACTCAGTCTCTTGGCGGCTGGCTCTTGTCCCTGTCTCCCACCTCCCTTGTCCCTTGTATAGGTTAGGAGCCAGCCTTACACATCTCTGCCCTTGAGTCTCCCCTGTCCCTGTTTGCAGAGGCAATTACAGAGCACTCTAGGGCTCCAGACAACCCTGACTCGAGGGCAGAGGGACTCTGGGGAGGATGGGAAAGAGTGAGGACAGCCAGAGCAGAGGGTCGGCCCCGCCACACCCCCACCCCCAAAAGGGCCAGCATGTACTCACTCAGGAAGAAGTACAGATGCTGGTGGTTGTAAGGCAGGTATCTCCGTTTCTTCTTGCCATACTGTGGAGACAGGCGTCGGCTGGGGAGAACAGCTCTCCAGGCCCAGATCAGGGGGCTGGCTGAGGCCAAGGTCAAAGGCAACTCTAGATTCTAGCCACTGGGCCACTCATCCCCAGGTGGCTAAGAGATGGAGGGAGGACTGGACCTAGAGCTAGAATGCAGGCTAAGCTAGGCGGCAAGCATGGGGGCGCAGTCCCTGCCAGGTCCCCTTAGCTGTAGTCCTGTCCTGAGTGTCCATGTCCCAACCCACCTACCTCCACAGATGACTCCCCGAGGAGGAAGACGGGTGCCACAGTCACATCTGGGTCCTTGTGGAAGATGTTGGGCTTGGCATGGTGCTGGAAGTGGCGGAAATTCCACCAATGGGCAGAGAAGCCCTGTGGAGAGAAGGGACTTCAGGGGTAGAGTCAGGCTGTGCTCTGACTTGGTACCCACACACTTGAGCAGACCCAGCACAGAGCCCCAATTCTATGCCTGGATGCCCACCCGGATCCACACTCACTTTCAACTGCCCCATCACGAACTGCTGGGCCACATGGTTCCACCTGGACTTAGCGAAGATGGAGGCATGGCCTAGATCATGTTGCAGACACCAGCACTGGGCCTGGGGAGAGGTCAAGAGTGGAGGAGGAATCCAGTAGTGACAGAGGAGGCTACCTGGGCCCTTCTGGTGCTAGGGTCCACCCACTGCTGATGTTCCACTGAACCAAAGCACCTGAGGTTGATGGTGTGCGTGCATGCAAACGTCAGGCTTCAGAAGCAAACTTTCTGTTCTTCTCATAGCTTCCGGTCTCCTGCTTCCCTGCATCCCCCAAGGCAAATGGTAGAACCTAGAATTCTCTACCCTACCTGAGGCAAGCCATAGGCACAAGGGCGCTCTTCTCCAAAGCCTGAAATCACTACTCTAATGTCCTTTTGCCTTGGTGCCGATCTTACAGAAGGGCTACCTCATCCAATAAGAACTCGTAAGACCCCCGTTTCGAAAAGCATTCCATCCCATACCTGGGAGGAAAGAATGCTTCAGGAAGAGGCCAAGAAAAATCGGAGCAGACAGGCCTTGCCGGGTTTCTGAGCCAGTCTGTTTGCCCTGGCTCAGACCTCTTGTGTCTGATCCCATTCTATTCCCTGTCTCATTCTGTTTCCATTACACAGACCTTTTCTGTCTGATCCCATTCCTACAGGCTGTTCCTGCTTCATAGAACCTACATGTTAAAAAAAAAAAAAAATGGAGAGTTCACCCTGGTCTTTGCTCTTTAACCTGAAGGCTCCTTGGTCACATAAGACTACAACCAGATAAATTTGTCTCGGCTTTTCCCTGCTAGTCTGGCTTCTTGTCACTGGAGTGTTAGCCAAGACCTTCATGTTAGGCAGAAAAGGATCCTCCTTTTCTTCACCTACACAAGTCTTGCCATGCATAGGACTGTGACATTCTGAATCTGGCACATCTTAAGAGCCTCTAGCACTTCACTTACCCATCCATCCACCCATCCATCCATCCTTTCTTTCATACATAAAAAAGCGTCCTGAGTTTACATGTGCTGGACTCCATATCTGCTATGTAGTCTTGGGGTTACCTGAGAGATGGCCAGGATTAGGGCAGCAAGGATGCTGGGCACCCAGCCAGGGCCCAGGAGGTAGATGATAAGCCAGGCCAGCAACTCCATAGCCAGGATGTGGCCCAGCAGGAGTGCAAAAAATGTGCGGTCGGCTTCGAACAGCTTCATGTCCTCGGCTGCCTGACGCAAGGCTCGGAAGTCCTCGATCAGCTGGGCCTGTGGTAGGAGAGCGGTCCAGCAGATAAGGAAGCAGGGACAGCCAGATTCCCCAGAAACTTCCCATTGCATCTCAAGCCATCCCACTTCCCATTGCTGGGTCCAGGTGTCAGCAAAGATGGTGAATAGAGACGGAACAAGAACACTAGCCAGGGTGTGAGCTGGGGAACTAGCGAGTGGCTAAGTTTCTTCCTGACCCCTTTAGGACTCAAAAACATCTTCCTGACCCCTTTAGGACTCAAAAACTTGTAGAACTTGCAGGGGAGTGGGTTGGGGTGGCCACTGGGTCTGGGCCCGAAAGAGGCCTCACAGCCAGACGCCCGCAGCAAGTTCCTAGCTAAATCAGATCTGGAATCCTTACTTCTACAGGACATTGCTATGACTTTTGCCTTTGACTGTGGCCCCAAAGGGGACACAGCCCCAGCCCCCACCCTGCATCCCCCAGGAGTAATACAGAACAAGCTGCTACTGGCAACAGGCAATGTCAAGGCCTCCAGCTGTACCCTCACATTCTGAGCGCCATCCTGGCTGGGCTCCTCTGGGGCTAGCTCTCCAATCAGCAGGGGCTTCAGGAACTTGCGCACATAACGGAGATCCTGGTGGAAGGCATGGAAGGCATCCTGAAGGAGAACAGACAGTCAAGCGAATAGACAGACAGCTCATATAATACCCGGGAAGGACCACAGAAACAGAGTGAGAAGGCTGTTGCGGTGCTGGAGGGGTGGTACAGTGGTTAAGAGTACTTGTTGCTCTTGCAGAGGACCTGGGTTAGATTCCCAGCATCCATGTACTGGCTTACAACCATCTGTAATTCCAGTTTCAGGGGATCCAATGTCCTCCTCTTTTCTCCGTGACACTAAGCATGCATGTGGTACATGTAAATATAGGCAGGGTCAACACTCACACATACAAAAATGGAATAAATCTAATTTTTAAAACTAACAAATAGGGAGGACTGTTGATGGACAGAGAGACAGACAGAAAGTCAGCTAGATGTTGGGCAGTCATAGACAAAAGACCAAGTCAGCTAGATGTTGGGCAGTCATAGACAAAAGACCAGGAGGGTCAACCGTACCTATCAAGCCCACCCTGCTCTTCCCAGGCCCCAGGTGCCCTGTTCTACAGCCCTCACTTGCCACGCCCCATCTGCTTCATCCAGCACAAGGTTCTCCTCACAACATGCCTGAAAGAATTCCAGACAGACTGAGTCCATCCATGAAAAGGCTTAGCCCTTCCAAAAAGCTTTCTGTGTACCATAGTATTTTCTACTGCATATGAGACGAGATTTGGCTCACAAATGTTAAATTTATCCAATTCTTACCAATACAATATGGGTAAAATGTGTGTGTGGGGGGGAGACATGTCATTGAAGACCCCTGGGTCACTTGGGCAAGTCCATGGTGGGCCATACACATTGAGTTCTTGGCCACATGCAAGGAAGATATTTGAGCAGTTAGACTTATTTGACTATTATTTTCTTTTTGGAGACATGGTCTCACGTAGCCCTGGCTGGCCTCAAAGTTGCTAAACAGCCCAAGAGAGAATGACCTTGGACTGATCCTCTTGCCTCAACCTCCCTAATGGTGGAACAACAAGCAGGCACCCCATGCCTACCCAGTTCACACGAGTGCTGAGAATTGAACCCAGGGGCTCTTTGCATGATAGGCAAGCACTCTACCAACTGAGCTACATTCCCAGTCGATAGTATAATTTTAAGGACAGAAAAGCCTGACACTCCTGTGTCTCTCTTTAATAACTGGGGCAGGGGGTGAGAAACGACACAGAAAAAAGACAAAAGTGGGAGGTAAGACAGATGATCAGGAGGACGACGCCTGGGTTCCCGCACCCTTCCCGCCTCGGCCCTGCTCTTGTGTTTACTCGACCCATCCACTGTTTGCTTTGATATCGCATCTAGCCCATTTATTGGTCGCAGGTGGCCAAGTGATTTTTACTGTTGCAATTTCAGAAGCAGAGAGGGTGACTAGATGCCATTGTCCCCATGGCCCTGGGAAAGGGGATGGAGGCCCTTCCAAGACGCTGAAAGGAAACACCTTTGCAGAAAGTCCGACAAAGAACAGGGGCCTCCTGCTGTCCACGAATCTACCAGCTTGTGTAGGTTGAAACAGAAATGACATTGTTAACTACAGTCACCCCACTGTATCACCAAGCTAATTGCCCTACTCATTGTACATTGTACACAGGTGTTGAAATAGCCCTCTGGCCCCAGGAACAGGGGCCTTATTAAGTGTTTATCGAAAATAAAAAGCTGGGAAGATGGCTCAGTGGGAAGAGCACTTGCCATAAAAGCATGATGACCTGAGTTCAAATCCCGATCACCCACAGAGAAATCTGGGCATATTTCTGTGAGTGTGTAACCCCAGCACTGTGGTGGGAAGTGGGGGAGGGCAGAGACGGGAGGATTGCTGGACCTTGCTGGATGCCAGTGTGGCTCCAGGTTCAGTGAGAGAGTCTGTCTCAGGGCGGTGGTGGGGAGCGGTGGGGGGGGGCGGGGGGAGATGGATGGAGTAGGGAGTGATAGAGCAGGATGCCCTCCTCTGGCCTCCACATGCATGTGGGCGCTCAAACCCATGTGCATACAGCGCCCGCACACACACATAAAGATAAAATAAGTAATAAAAATAAAATAAATTTACATTTTTACAATGAAGCTGAAAATGACTGTAGTCCCTACACTTCCTGGCAGGACATTTCTGAAGAGTCCTTGGAGGAAGGAGACTCCATTTAGAGACCACACCTGGAGTCTACCCTAGGGGTCACTGACAGCTAGGGACTGGGGAGCTAGGAGGGTGTGGCTTCTAAAACCCCCCAGGCTGGATGATGAGGAAGGGGCAGGGACGCAGGGGAATGGGGTCCCCAGGAAGCTTCTGGTTTGCACATTACTGGGGATGAACCCAAGGATTCTGTGGGTGCTAGGCAACATGCTACCAACTGAGCTACACCCCCAGCCTTATATTATTATTATCTATAAAATATCCAGCGGTACCGAGAACCTTCATACTGATGTGTGACCATCCATCTCCAGAATCTCTCCTCTTCCCCAGATGAAAGGCTACACCCATTCAACTCATTCCCCTTCCACAGCCCCGACTCCACTATTCTACTCTGTTCCTATGGCTCGAGCCCTATTCCAGGAGCCTCACTTAAATGGAGTCCTACAGCATTTGTCCCTTTGTGATTAACCTATTTCACATAACATAATACCCTCAAGGTTCATCCATGCTGCAGTAAGCGCCAGAACTCCCTAAAGCTGATGGTGATTTCAAACCTCTTTACCTGAGCACAGAGCCTGGGGCATGGAAAGACAGACAGACTGATACTCTCTCTCTCTCTCTCCTCTCCGCCTCCCCCCCACACACACACACAGCCACCCACCATTTCAACAAGCAAGATTCAGACTCTTAGAAATGTGCCTAGGGCCATAGTCGACATGAACACCAGACACACACAGCCCTGTACAGGTGTGCACTGTAGGGAGATGAGCAGAACCAGGCTCACCCAAGGGTCTTCCAGTCAGCTCACTAAAGTGATAGGGAAGGTGTGAGTCTCCTTGGTACCAGGTCAGAAATTTCCACAGTGGGTAGGTCAAGGCTCCAGTTGGCAGGAAGCTGACAGGCAGGTAGCCCTAGGCCCTTGGACAGAAGGCTGGAGCCTTAGGAGTGAGTGAGCACCATGGGGCCTGTGCATTTTCAGAGGACACTCACAAGGTGGGTCCCTGGACTCTGAGTACCAGCAAGGGACTTCCTGGAACTCTCGCTTAGGTCATATGGAATCAAAAGGTATGCCATGGGGGCTAGAGAGGTTGCTCAGTGGTTAGGAACACTGGCTGGTTTTGCAGAGGACCCAGGTTCAGTTTCTAGCACCTACATGGTGGCTCCCAAGCATCAGTAACCTTAGTTCCAGGGAATCTGACACCTTCTGATCTCTGTGAGCACCAGGCACACATGTGATGCACATATGTACATGCAGGAAAAACACTCATATACATAATTTGTTTTAATCTGAAAAAAAATAAAAACAAACAAAAAAGCATAGCAAACCTAAGTTCCCAGTGACCCCTGCAGGCTCTGTTTACAGATATACCCGGTTTGGGGCAAGTTTTTAAGTGCAGATGGTAAGTAGGAAGAGGCAGCCCTCCCCACCTCCCAGGGCAGGGTTGTGAACCGTTTTATCCTCGAGACACCTGTCCCAGGGGAAGAACGTGTAGTGGCAGAGCTGGGGTTTGCACTTGAGTCTGTTCTCTATAACGTCCACACACCCTCAGAATGTGGAAACCTCAGAGTCCAGACAATCAGGGCCCCTGCTCTGACCCCAGCCTCACTATGAGCTCCGCGTAGCAGCTGACTGGGTGCTGGGGAGATGGGGTACAGTCTGGAGGCAGCCTTCCTGCAGAGATGGAACCTGTGATTCCATGTAGGAGCCCCAGACAGGCTTGCCGCCTCTTCCCTCTTCTCGATAAGATGGGAAACATTAACGCACACCTCACAGGCTGCGCAAAGGACTGACCTGGTAGGTCAAGCACTTAGAAGGGCCTAGTGGACAACAGGAGCCCCGTTGCCCAGCGTTCTTCTGTGCCCCAGGGTCCTGCTGTACACATGCTGCTGAGAGCCATGGGCTGCAGGGGTGAGTGGGGCAGTGAAAATGTGATGTGTTTTGTCAAGACCTAGTTGAGTCTCAGGCTAAGGAACAGGAAGGGTGGGGGCTGGGGGCGACAGCCTCCTTCTACTCCAAGCACAAGAGGTGGGGAAGAAGTTCTGGTCTCTGGCCGAAGAATGGAGAATGTTCCACATCAGCATAGGGGGGAGGGAATGGACGGGATGGGACGGGACAGGGAGGGCTGTTGGAGCTCTGGATTTACACCTTTGCCAGAGGTGGGCATAGGGTCTCCAAGGACACACCCCTGCGTCTCTTGCCTTCCAGATGGAGGGCAGACAGAGGGACTAAGGCTCTGCACTTAACTGCTCTGTGCCACCCTCTCCCCAACACTGCTTTCAAGAGGCGAGAAAACATTATCAGTAACCCTCCCTTGTGGATGGAGAGACTGAGGCAAGGGCACAGCTCTGTAACCAGTACATACGGCTCTAGCCTGTGCAGCAAAGCCCAGCTCAAGGGAAGCTGCCCCCAGGCCCCTCAGCATCCCTGGTATTCTGGAAAAGGGTGAGAACACACAGCTGATCCTCTGCTAGCCAGGACCCTTGGCCTCAGAGATGTTGCTGTCTCAGCAAATACCTGAAAATGACCCAGGCTTCTGGCACGTGGTCCTCTCTTTACCACTGAACTCTGGCTTTACCACTGGAGCCTGGCTTTTTTATCAGAAACCCGAAGGCAGCCAAGGGAAGCCTTCCCTCTCAGGAAGGAAGGGGGAAGGCTGCCTGATATTCTGAGGTCACCATCATTCCCACCTCTGCACACTGCATTCCTGCCAGTCACACAATCCTGACTCCTCCCCACGGTGTGTGAGGGGGGTAGGGGGTGGGCACTTCGGCCTGCAGAAGAACACACCTGTAAAGCCCCCCAGAGTCAGGTGTGGCAGCTTGCACCTGTAATCTCAGTACTCAGGAGGGAGATGGTGATTGATCTTTGTGAGTTTGAGGCCAGCTTGGGGTATATAATGAGTTCTAGGCCAGCCAGGGATACATAATGAAATCCTGTCTCAATACAAAACAAACAAATGCCCACTCAGGCCCCACAAAATGACTACTTGCAGCCGGGCGGTGGTGGCGCACGCCTTTAATCCCAGCACTCGGGAGGCAGAGCCAGGCGGATCTCTGTGAGTTCGAGGCCAGCCTGGTCTCCAAAGCGAGTCCCAGGAAAGGCGCAAAGCTACACAGAGAAACCCTGTCTCGGAAAAAAAAAAAAAAAAAAAAAAAATGACTACTTGCTGAAGCAGACTTTCAAAGCAGCCAGTGTGGCTGGTGGGAACCACTAGGCCTCAGAGCTTCCTGGTCATAATTCTATTCCCTCTCAGCTCCCATCCAGACACAGACTCTCCTTCCCAAACCCAGGGATGAAGGCCTTGTCATTTTGGGGTACCATGACATCGCTCATCTTCTGCTCAAGTCTCTTTATCTATGCAACAGACAGGACCTAACCTCACAAGGTTGTTAGAAGTCAGTAAATTACTACATCTAAAATTCTCAGAAGAGAGCCCAGTCAATAACTGTTGGCTGAAACTACTATGACACAGCCTCTGATGGTGGCACCAGTGACCCCTACTTTTGGCTTGTTATTCCCAAGGGGCCAGAAGAAGGTGGATGCCAGATGGCTCAGGTCTGCTAGACTTTGAATTCTTCTAGGGCTGACAGTGCTTCAGCCTAATGGGCACCGGGGACTGCTGGGAAACTCCTCGCCTTCCCATAACCACACCAGTTGAGTTCAGGGTTTCATTGCCCACGGTAACCAGTCACTCAGGTGCCCAGCACCATTCTCACAGTGAATCCAAACTGAAAGCAATCGTATCCCTGCCACATTGAAGGGGAAATAGAGTCACAGTGTGAGGACAGGTCAGCTCCTTCTCTAAAAATAAGACAGAGATAACTTGGGCACTTTTTTTTTTTTTTGGTTCTGTTTTATCAAAACAGGATCTAATGTAGTCCAGGATGGCTTCGAACTCAATGTGTGACTGAGGATGATACTTGACTCCTCACAGTCCTGCTTCCACCTCCCAAGAGCTGGGATTACAGGCCTGCACCACAATGCTGGACTCTATTTGCTTTGCCTCGTTTTTTTTTTTTTTTAAACTTTCACTGCTGGGGATTGAACTTACGTCCTTGGGCATGCTCATCCAGCACTCTACTGCTGACCATATCCTCATCTTACAGAGCTAATTCCAATGGCCCCTACTAGTATCCACATATCTCTGACCTGCCACATTCACACTTGGGAGCCCAGTTACACAGTCACTTGTTCTGAATGCCATCCCCAAAGAGAGAGCAGGTCTCCATTTTGCTTACCTTGACACCCAAGCCTTTGCCCTTCTAGAAGATGATTTTATTTTGTTTTATTTTTAATTATGTGCATGTGTGTGTGTGTTTGGGGGGGAGTATGTATACATGAACGACAGTGCACACAGAGGCCAGAGATGTTGGCTCTCCTCCAGCTGGAGTTACAAGGGGTTGTGAGCCACCCAATGTGGGTGCTGGGAATGGAACTCAGGTCCTCTGCAAGAGTAGCATGCACTCTTCACCACTGAGCATTTCTCTAACCACAAGGATCCTTTTATTTGGAGACAAGGTTTCCTATATTCCAGATTGGGCTCAAACTTGCCTCATACCTGGGAGTGACTTTGAACTCCAAGTCCTTTGTCTCTGTCTCATGAGTGCTGGGGTTACAGGTGGAGGTCACCACGACCAAGTTTATGCAGTGCTAGGGATGGACCCTAAGGCATCACGAATACTAGGCAAACAGTCTGCCAGCTAAGCTTCATCCCACCCTTCGGAGATCCTTTTAAACACAGAGCAGACCCCTTTGGTTTCCATGCTCTGCCCCTCCCTGGATCTCCTCCTTCTTTAGAATAAACCAAAGTCGTCCTAAGGACAAAAATATCCAGTGAGCCTGGCATGTCTGCCTTTTGACTCCCCTTCCCCATGACTGCTCTCTTTTGTAGCCATGTTGTGTTCCTTAGGGATGGGTGGTATGGTCCCACCTCTAAGTCTTTGCTCTAGCTGATCCAACTGCTGGACACTTCTTCCCTGCAAATGTTTTGTTCACAGCTGCATCTGCAGAGATTGGGGGGCGGGCATAGGAGGTACTCATGGGTAGATTTAGGGAACTCCATCATGGAGAAACCAAGGGGGGGGAGAGCATGGCTGTGCATTCAAATCCCACACCTGCCACTGTTTCAAGTCACTTTGTTTCTCTGCATCTGTTTCCTCACCTGTAAAGTAGGACAGCAGAAGCAATGCCTGCCTTAGTGGGGGTAGCCTGAGGATTAGGAAACAGTATCAATAACAAGCACTGAATTAGAGTCTAGAACATAGTAGGTGCTTGGCATGTGACCCTCACATATTTATGACCAGCAGGGGCTGTACTCTCTGGCTGGCTCTTTTTGTCTCAGGGTGACTATGACTCTTAGGCAAACCTGGCCCAGGGCCCAGAGTGCTCTCCCCAGGGCACCAGGCTCTGTATCCCAGGATGGTCACAAGCTGACTTCACGGCACAAGAACTCTGGGAATTTCCTGGCAGGAAGGCTTCTGTTGCCTGGACATGAGAACAGCTGATGGGCGGCTGGGCTGATGCAAGTGGGCAGCGGCCTCCCACTCCCAACCTGAGTTTCAGGGTCTGGGATGGGACAACTGGCATCTAGATTTGCTCACACGGCACTGGACCAGTCCAACCCCTGGTATGCCCTGTGGGTCCATCAGAGACGAAGACTAGGGTCTGCTGAGCCCAGGCCCCTCTCAAGCCTTTGACTTGAACATACCAGGTATTTTTGGCAACTCCACCCCAATGTCTGGGGTCTATAGCAATCTCTATTACAGACAGGGCCAGAGAGAGACTAGGTTGCCTAGCAAAGGCTTGGGAATGCTGGGATGGTCCCACTGCACTCTCCAGCTTTATATATATATATATATATATATATATATATATATATATATATATATATATATATATATATATATATATATGGAAGAGCAGTTACTGAACATACACCTGTGGTTGAAAAGGTATGTTCCTGCCCTTGCCATATGGTCCAGTTCTCCCCACTTGACCAATGAGGAAACTGAAGTGCAGAGGAATTACCTCTCAGGGCCTTCGATGGCAGAGCCAGAACCCTGCCACAAAATGCAGAGAGATGTTTTCCTAACAGACCTTACTGGCTATGAATCAAAATGGTGGCTGTAGCAAAACCATTTGATGGAGGTCTCAGGGTACTGAGTTAAATATAAAGTTAGGAACCCTGTGTAGGAGGGCGCCCTGTGCAGGCCTGGCCCTGAGCAGGAAAAAGCAATCAGTCCATGCTCTCTGCTGTCCTCCGCTCCTGCCCAGCATCCTGTGCTAGGCTATAACATGATTCTCACAGGGTTGCCAGGGCTCTGTGGGAGGGGCCATGGCACCTCATGCCCACCATGCCCTGGTAGAAAGGCAAGTACACACACACACACACACACACACACACACACACACACACACACACACACAATGACCCAAGGTTGATGATTTTCAGGAACCTTCTCATTCTTATGCTTCTCGGTTGCTTGGAGTGAATGGGGGAGGAGAGGGACAGTGACAGTTCTGGGACAGGGCAGAATCCCCTGCTGCCACCAAGTTCTTCCATTAAGAATTCATCCCCTCCAATCTTGAAGATCTTCCAGGTACCCATTGTGACTAACCTACAGTTCTGGACAATGGAAGGCAGAGCGTCATGGCCTCAACCTTTGTTCACATAGGGTGACTGAGGGAGAAAGGGTCTGGGAAATTGCTTCACCCCTGGGCTCCAGCCAGATAGTCCTTCAGGCCAGCCACATCCCTCCTTGTCTAGACGTGGACTGAGAATGGGAAGCCAGCGTCCCCAGGGGCCAGCCTGTGCCTGGGGTGACTGTGCTTCCCGTGGAGGCCCACCCAGCCTGGCAAAGTCTTCCCACGTGCAGCTGCCAGCCCAGCAGAGGTGAGTCACTGGCCCTCAGAACAGTCTACACAAGTGCTGGATAAGCCACAGACCTCCAGGCCCTGCCCAAGCTCTGCTGCCCAGCCCCCAGTCTCTGATGGCATATCCCTGTCGCTAGGGACCCAGCCCTGCCCCTTGCACTTGGAAGCACCAGGTACTAGTCTGAGAGACTCACAGCAGAGATGAGACCCTCAGTACAACAGTGAGGGTCCTTACCTAGGGTGGGATCTACCCCTCACGGCACACCCACCTCAGTGGGTCCATTCCTCTCTGAGAGAGACCTATTGCACAGACGGACCCAACAGCAAGTCCTCCATGCAAGAAAGGGACCTCCTTAGCCTTGGCTCCATCTCAACTCTGGAGCCACGGCGTGGGGGTCAAAGGTCAGAAAGAGAAGAAAGGATGCTAAGGTCTGCAGGTGGAATGAGACTAGGAGCCTGTGACCCACGTCTCCCTCCCCACCGTTAGCGCCAGGCTCCACCCCGCTGCCTGTGGGCTAGCTTACCGTGGCGTCCTCGGCGCCGTGGTGGCCGATGAGGCGGCTGCCCCCTGGGTGCCGCTGTGCCCAGCGGCTGATGTCGTAGACACGGCGCTCGATGACCAGCCACTTGTCGCCTGGTAGGTCGTGCTGGCGGATCTGCTCCCAGCGGAAGATGGGCAGGGGCGCCCCCAGCGGTGCGGGCCCCTCCCGCGGCCCTGGTCCCCCGCCGGGCTCCCCGACGCCACCCATGGCCGCTGTGCACAAGTCCTCCGGACCCCGGAACGTGACCGAGGTCTGAGAGAGACACCGTGGAAGGCGAGGTCGCGATCGGGGGTCTTCCTCCGCCGCCGCCCGCCCTGCCGGCCCCGCCCTGCCGCTGCGGCCGCCGTACGAGCGTGCGCCTGCCCGGCTCTCCGCGCAGGGAACTTTTCCCTCCCTTATAACCGCGCTGACAGCGCTCGCCTCGCCCGCCCCTCGTCCCGGCCCCCGCGCTGGCCAGTCCCGCGCCGGCTCCAATCCCAACGCGGCACCTCCACCTCCATTGGCTGCCCGGGGAGGGCGGTGTCGCGAAGGGGCTCGCCCCACCCGCGAGGGCCTCGGGGGCCACCACGCCCGGCCCAGCCCCCGGGGCAGTGTCCCGCCCCCAGTTCCTCGGACTCGAAGCTTGACCGAGAAAGGGGGTGAGGGGAACCGGGACCCGGAGCGCACGGGAGTCCCGCAGGCCGCTGCGCCCGGGCGCACCCTCAGGAGCCCAAGAGGAGCCCAGGTCTGAGCCCGAAGAGGCTGGGAAGTGTGGTTAGGGACGTCATGGGGCTTTAGCCATGCATCCCGGGTGGCTAGAGGTGAAGACACTACCTCCGAGCGACTGTCAACAGCCTTCAAACAATGGACCTCACCCCCCAACAAACCCTCAACGTCTACAGGAGGCGGCCATCTAGAGCCATCTGCTGGGGCGGATAACCTCTTCTCCCCTTTGGCTGCAAACAGGGTTGGGGATGTCCAGAGTGATCACTGGGCAGGAAGGCTAGCACTGGGCCTGCCGCTCTGCCATTCACGAGAGGAAAGAATGGACCAGTCTGCAATGGGTGGCTTGCTTGTTACCACCTCCCACTCCCCCACCCTTCAGTCGCATTTTTGACTTACTAAATTGAAATCCTCTTGAGAGTGTAGCTACATTCCCAAATTGTACGATGTTCCTTTGAGATCGACACCAATTGCTTAAAGCTAAGCACTCACGCCAACCGGAACCACAATTGGCAAACTTGAAGTTCTATCAGAACTTCCCGGAGGGCTAGTTAAAACAGACTCCCTCACCCCACCCTAGCATGACTCAGGGCAGAAAGGTGAGGCAGGCCTGATGGCTGGAGAAAGAATGTTTTCAGAGCCGTTAAGTGTATTTCTCCAGTATGCTAACACTTCCTCTTGGCCTACGTAAGAATTTGTAGGAGACCTAGCCTTTAAGGCACCCTGTGGATACCAAAATCAACCTGTGCTCCTTGCCTACATAAGACAGTATTTGCATGTAACCTTCACACATCCTACCATGCACTTCACATCATCTCTGAATTCCTTGCAATACCTACTGTGAAGTAAATGTTCTATAATTGTTCACTGCATTGTTTAGGGAACAATGACAAGAATAAAAAGGCTGAAAGCATCCAGTCCAGATGTGACCATTACAAGCGGAAATGCACAGGACAGGAAGAGAAGCAGAGGCTAGCAAAAAGAATGCTGCTGAGGCAGTCAGGACCTGGGAACCCAGGAGAGGTGGCAGCAGGGCCAGCATGCATACACGCTGCCGCCTTCACACGGAGAGAGAGGAGTGTGGCACATTCCAGAATTATTTTCTGAACATGTCCAATCTACTGCTGATATGTCTTAGGCTGCAGAACTCATGGTGACGGAAGACACATGATATTTGTGCCACAGGCAGACCAGAGCCTGAAGAACAGGGCCTCTTGGTTCTCCCTAGTTCAGGGAACTCTTGCTTTGGTTAGCCAGGACAACCAGAGACCCATGATGTTGCCACGGACAGGAGTTGTTTAATCCCTTTCTACCGGGCTCTTCAGAATCCTGGAACCCCATTTCTGCACACCTGGAGGATTCAGCAGCCCAGGCCAAAGAGGACAGCGGGTACTGCTGCCCCCACATGGTCACACTGAGCACCGGATGAAGAGAGCCTACTCTTCCCAGGGAATATACCTCTTGCATCCAAACCTGGTGGCTCCTGGGGCGTAGCCCTTGCTCCATTCTCAGCACCTCTCAGTAGTATGATGTGCCTGGTTCAAGAGCCATTCAAGGGCTCCTTCCCTGGGGCCTGGCCTGGCCTGGGGTATGGGAGGCAGTAAGGGGTCGGGTAAGTTAAATCTCTCTATGTCCTAGCCATACCAGGAGAGTCAGCAAAGTGAAGGCTGGACAGATAGGTTAGATAACACAGAACAAGATCTGAACCATGCTACCCTTTCTGGCCACTTCAGTCCAGCATGGAGTCTATAGGTGGTATGGGGCCTCTTTCCACCTGTATCTAGTTATGTGTTCCCATAAAGCCTAAACTATGAGTGACCTCTCCCTTCCTCCCACACAAACCGCTTCCCACTCTAGTTCTCTGCAGGCCTCGGGGTCATCCCTAGGCCACTCTGTCTCTCGGATCTCTGATGCTGGAGAACTTGCAACTTGCAGGGAATCAGGGGTTGGGGGAACTTGAGGCTCCATTGTCCCCAAATCCCCAAATCCGGGCAGCTGAGGCCTCTCAGACCACTTAGAAAGGGAGAGGCATCACTCGACATTCCTGAGCTGCCACTGGGCCACTGCCAGGGTGTGTGGGTGTAGGAGGGTGAGGGAAGCCAGCCAACTGGAGTATTTTTTTTTGAGGGGGACAAACTTGAGGTTTGAGGAGAGTCCCCCTTGAATGCCTTGAATGCAGACTCTTGCCTCTGTCCCAGCTGGATCCTCTACTGTTGGGAGCTTCCACTCAGGCCTCTTTTTGGATGCCTTGAGATTGCCACCCCCTACAAAGCCACCAGCTACTGTCCTGGAGCCAAGGGATGTTTGTGCAGGGCCAGGGAGGCTCAGCAAGCTGGACAGGCAAGCAGTGGCTTTAAGAAAAGGCTCCAGATCCACCAAGAAAGCACAGTCCCAGAGCTCAGGCAAAAGGGACTGGAGTCAGAGCTCTAGGGGTTGGCCTGAGTTACAGATCACATCATGAGCTGGGTTATCAGTTCAGGGTACAACTATTCTGAGAAAGGAGGAGCAGAGGCCACGGACATCACAGAATTATGTAAGGGCTTCTTTGGAACCATTTAGGCCAGCAACCACAAGCCTATCGGCCACTGGTGGAGCACAGACCCTTAGAACACCCCTTGGTAAGAACAGCCTGCACAGAAATGTGCAGCAAAGTGAGAAGACCCCACATCACTGCTAGGGATGCAGATAAAAGCCCAGGGAGCAAACACCTCACATCTCTTAGAATGCTTACTGCCGAAACCAATAACATCAATTTGATCAGGAGGCAGAAAAGTTGGAACCCTGGGGTATTGTTGCTAGAACTTTAAAATGGTGCCGCCACCATGGAAAAGTATGGAGGGTCCTCTTAAAAAAATAGAACTACCATATGAGCCAACAGACTTACTTCTCATTATTTATTCAAAAAGATTCTAAGCAGGGTCTCCAAGAGATATCTGCATACACAACAGGTACCAGCAGCCCATGTCTATCTCCAATGAATGGACAGACACAGCAGGGCGTTACATATACAACAGAACACTACTGAGCCTTAAGAAGTCAATCCTGTCATCTTACATGGATGAATATTGAGGACATTACATTAAATGAAACAAGCCAGTCAAGAGAAGATGAATGTGCTATAATTCCATTTACAGCAAGTCTCTAGAAGAGTCATATTCACAGAGGCAGAAGGTGAAATGCTGCTCTCCACAGTCTGGGGACAGGAGAAACAGGGAATTGTCTAATGATCATAGCTTTTATTTTGCAAGATGCAAAAGGTTTATAGATTGGTTTCATGGCAGTGTGAATATACCTAACACAACTATAATTCTACACTTAAAAATGGCTAAGATTACGTGTTTTTAAAAAGTGACTAAGTGTGGCAGAGATTGCTCCGTGGGTAAAGCACTTGTTGTGCAAGTCTGACTACCTGAGTCCAGATCCACAGAACTTGTATAAAGCTCAATCCAGCAGTCCTTGCCTGTAATCCCTGTGTTCCTAATGAGAAGGTGGGAGGCAGAGATGGGAGAATTCCCAGAAGCTAGCCTGGCCTATGCAGCAATGGACAATAAAAGACTCTGCCTCAGACAAGGGGGAGGACAAAGACCGACACAACACCAGAGGACCAGAGGTGGTCTTCTGACACGTGCACCATGGTACATGTGCACGCACACACACGCACACGCACACGCACACGCACACACACACACACACACACACCAAATGAATGCATGCATGCATAAACAAATGAGGGAAGATTGTGGGTGGAAAATCATAATCCCAGCTCATAAATGAAAACAACTTGCTCCAAGGTCACAGCCCTGGCAGGATTCAAATCAGGGCAAGTTTGGCAGATGGCAAAGTGAGATATCTCAGGGTGCAGCCCCAGGTAAATGTGCTTAGTCAGGTTCGATGCCTTCATGCCTAGAGGCCAGACTCAGGGCTGGCCAAGGAGGGCTCAAATGAATCCTATGTGCCAAGTATTCATAGAAGCCCAAGAGGGTTATCTAGAGAATTTCAGAACAACGGTGTGGCTGATGGCAGTTAATCTCCCTAGTCAGCTCCAAGAGTCAGAGCCCCAAGCTGCCTCACAGGTCTGCTAGCACAGTCAACCCTAACAGGGTATAGTACAGGGAACAAACCTAGGTTCAAATGCCAGCCCTGTCTCAATCTGTTTCTTTTCTTTTGTTGTGTGTGGTGCTGGGGACCAAACTCCAGGCCTTGAGCACTCTACCACTGATCTACACCCCTAGCCTTCTGCATCAATTACAGAAGCAAAGAACCTAAGCACACTTTGAGTGTTTGGTATAAAAAACAAAACACTAAGAGGTTGGTTAATACTATGGAGCCCAGAGACTTAGGACCTTTTTGTGATTTTTTTTTCCAGGTGACTGAACCCAGGGCCTTGTGCTTGCTAGGCAAGCCTCTACCACTGAGGTAAATAAATCCCAACCTTGGGGCCTCTTTCCAATGCCTCTATCCATTTACATGAGGGAGAACAGCATGTTTTAACATTGCTAAGAGGCTGAAATAATGGGTTCAGAGAGCTATAATGGGAGCTATGACTAGTGCTAAGCTATTAATTGCTGTTACCAAGGTGTGGCTGTGTTGATGGCCCCACCTGTGGTCTGATCAGGGTCAAAGTTTTGTAGCAGCAAGGCAAGTAAGTCAGGGGAGTAGGGTCCCCCACGGGCCTCCGGAGTGCCTCCTGGTGTCTCTTTGGTCCTGCATATGGCTGAGCCCAGAACACAGAAGTTAGGGACTGATTAAGTCCAGCACTCGGGTTTTCATCCTCCCTTGTCCCCAGGTGAACAAGGGTTGACATAGTTAGAGGATGCCATAGGGATCCCATCTGGGACACCAAGTGTTTCCCTGACATTCTCCTTTGTCTTTACTTTCCTCCATCCAGTGACCTGGTTGTATTACTCGTACGTTTATTATTGCCAGCGTCCAGCATGAGTAGATGTGACAGGGGTCTAGTCAGTGACCAGGTGTCTATGGGGACTGGGAAGACAGGAAACGATTGGAGTCATAATGGAGCAGGAAGGGGACGTGAGGACACAGAGGTGCAGCAGAGGCAGAAGAGTCCTGGGAACAGGGTACTGATCAGAGAACGTGTAAAGGCAAAGGACCTTGACAGAGCTCTGGCCAGCCCCCCCCCCCCCACCGCCCCATCTACCATCTGAGTGGCATCTGGGCCTCAGGCCAATCGAGAAGTTCCTGTAGGCTGCTGACAACCTCTGACCCAACCCAGAATCTGCTGCATCCTCCTTCCAAGAAAGCACAGAGCCCTACAGGTGGAGCAGAGGCAGGAACCACAGGACATCTCCTCAGTCCTACTTTGAGGTCTCTGAGGACCCTGGTTACCCACCTCTTTCCACTTGTGTCTGCCATGCCTTGCTAAGAACCCATCTAAGATTGGGGTGAGGCAGTCCAGCATTTCTGTAGCCCCTACTGTCCTATGGCAGGTAACACCAATCAATCTTGCACTGTCCTGCCAAGCCCCAGGAAGTTCCAGTGCTTTTGACTCCTGGCTTCTAATAGACTGGGGGGGTCATCGCTGAGGACTAGGGGACTCACAGAATTGAACACATAGAGTGGCAAAAAATCATTCCACTACCCCATAGCCCCATGAAATACTAAGGACAACTCCAACAGTCTTCCCAACAGCAAGTAAGTGGTGGTAGCAGTGGGGGTGGCTTCAGGATTTGGGTTTAATCCCAAGCACGAGGGCAGTCAGGAAAGGATTTTATTTCATTCCTTCAGATGCCCAAGCCCTGGCCAGAGCCCCAGGGCGCAGGAGTGAAGGCCACTGCTGCCTAGCCCCTACCAACAAAGCCTTCCTTTATTAAACAGAGATTGTGTTACATTCCACTTGAAGGAAATAGGGGCGTGGTGAGGGATATGTCCAGGTTGGATACCCCAAGCCCAGTTCCCAGTGGGCTATGATGGATGGGTAAGGCAGGGTCCAGGTCCTATGTAGCCACTCCATCCAGTCCCACATACAGGGCCCCTGTGGTCTGGATGGCAGCCCACAACTACATCCTGAGGCTCCCCTGTGGCACACTTTGAGAAGAAAGAGCCCAGGCCCCTGGCAATTTTAGGGCCAGGGCCTCCTGAAGATGGGGTTGAAGTAGAGAGGGAGGGTCAGAGAGGCCTCTATTCAGAAGAATGGAGCCAGGGTCTTACTCATTTTCAGAGCACTTTGGGGGCAGTTATCCCTCCACCGTGCTCAGATTGGAGACCTTTGCCCTACCACTGGGGAAGTCTAATGAGGCCACTTGGGAACAGGGTGAGAGATGGCCACAAGGGGGTGCTGGTGACCCAGAGCTTAAGAGGCCGTGGCGGAGCATACTCTGGAGATCCAGCCACGGTAGAACAGTCCCTTTCTGAAGACAGGGCAGCAACAGAGCATTGGTAAACAGCAGGGACTTTTGGAGGGGGTACTGGCTGTTCAAGGGTCCCCTCCCTAGAGCTGAGCCTCTCTCCAATATGGCTCTGAGCTCCTTGGTCTTTGGTGTTTCCTTGAAATTCTCTTGGTGGCTACAGAGCCCAGTGGGCAAGAGGGTCATCTCATGAAGTCCAGGGCAGGCTGTCCTTCCGTCTGTCCCAGGAGGAATGGATGGGACTGGCTTAGTTCTGTCTCTACAGCCTGGCTGTTTATCTGTCCTTTCAGCTTCTGGCTCAAGCTGGCTCCAGTATTTCTTGACTGTCTGTCCCAAGGCAGCCGTTTGCTCTAGCTCAGAGCCTACTTCAGGCCTGGGATCACGCCCTAGGCCTCCTGGGGGAAGAAGCCAAGCTTGGCTAGTGACATCCCCTTCCGAAGCCTCATGATCTCCCAGAACATCGGCTCAGCTGCAGACAGAGAGGACAATTCATGGTCACTTGAGACAACTGCCCTGGCCTCCCTGGCTTTGGGCAGGGGAGTTCAGACACTCTTTGCCAGAGTTGTTTTCATCATGGGCTTAGAACTACACTTCTCCAGTTGCAAATGTTTTCCCACCTTGACCCAGAGCAGTGAGCAGGGCCCAGGGCATCAGTCCCTGTGTCTGGAGAAGGATCCAGAAGGCAGGGAACCCATGTTCTGGTGGCCATGAAGAAGTAGGAAGAGTCACAGGAGGGACCCATCATAAAGACCCTTGAATGTCCAAGCCAGCAACAGGAATGATATCTCTGCTGGCCCTAAGGATTTCTAGGCAGAAGAAAAAGCAGCATGGCCCAGATGTGTAGAAGGCACCAGGTTTGCTGTCCCAGTGAAGCAGAACCCATCATTAAGGAGGACTAGGGACACTTTATTAATGTACAATGCTCCCTTTTGCTGGCCTTCTACTGAAGGGACCCTAGACTCCTGCCTCTGCTGCTGCTGGACAGGCAGTCTTCGAAGGCGCTTAACCAACCCCATTCTGCCCGGGTCTCCCTCCCTTGGAAACTATCCCGGAAAAGAACACTAGAGGGCACTCACCATCCTGCCGAACCAAGCCTTGCTGGATGTAGCGAATATAGGTGAAGAAGTTGCATACTGCAGTGATCTGTGGGCAGAATGGAGAGGGTGTGACCCACGAGATTCCCCAGACTCTAGGGTCCCCTCCAAAAGCCAATGCAGACCCTATCCCAGAACGTAAGTCACAGGCACCTGGCAGAGCCAGGGAGTGCTCGCTGACTCTGCTAGAGCTGGGCTTCCAAGGTTGAATTAACAATAGCAAGACACCCACAGCTCCCAAGAATAACTGTTGCGATGCCTGTACGCAATGCAGCAAGCGGGACACGGACACTCACCATGCCCATTTTACCAGTGATAAAGACTGGTAAAGTGCGCGGTCAGGAAGTGGTCAAGCGGGCATGAAATCAGGCAGCCTGCACCAACACCCAAGCTTAGTTCCTTGTGGACCTGCTCATTCTGAGCAAGGAGGTCCAGGCCCACCAGGTGCTATGTATAATTCCATGAAAGGCAATTAGAGTTGCTTTCCCAGGCTACCTTGTCCCTAAGCTTGAGGACCCTAGTATGGCTTGAGGCCTGTTCCCTGCCAAGTTCTGGTGACCCTTTACTGGCAGAGGCACAGCCCCAAAGACTCTCACAGAGAGGAGGGGGCTGTGTGGTTATTCTGCCCGAGGCCACCCCCAGGCCTGGCCTGATCTCACAGCTTCTGAGGGTTTAGGCGACATTGAGCCCGTGGTGCCCACTTTTGTGGGGGGAACACAAGGCCAGCTCTTTTAGCTAGGCTGGAGGGAGCTCTGTGCTCCAGACTCCCTCTGGATCTAGCCAAAGCTAAGCCCTGTCTTGGTTTGCCTCCTTTCCCTGCCTCATCCTGCTTCCCTCACTCCATTGAGAAGGTCCAGAAATGTCCATGCAGGCTCTGCATCTAGAAAACCAGCCAAGATGGGAGGTAGCAGGCAGCAGGGCCCACGAGAGCCCTACCCAGGATTCTGGGACAGGGAAGCCCTGCATGTGAGGTACCCAGAGGCTGGCAGGCACGAGAGACTGCGGGGAGGGGTTGATGCTCTTGCTAGGCCTCCAAACATAGAGCTTGCCAGGAGGCCAGAGAGGGGGCAGGGAGCTGGAGCTGGGGGGAGGCTGCCAAAGGCAGGGTGGTGTGAGGAAGCATAGGAGCACCAGCCAGGTGTGGCTGAGCCTGGTGCTGGGAAGGGGGACAGCGCAACTCCGAGGCCAGGTAATAAGCTGGCAGTGGGCAGCCACAGGGGGCTCCTGAGCATGGAGCGGGAGTGGCAGAGTGGTATAGTTTCTCCCCGGGGCTGTGCTCTTTGTCCACACCTCATCCCTCAGTCTGTTTGAGCAAGGATCACATACAAACCATTAGACCTCAGCTCCGCTCTCTTCTGGTACACAGCTTTGCCCAGCAGAACCAGACACCAAGGTCACAATAAAAGAAAGTGCTGCGTATAGTTTTGCAAGACACAAGGACTGCCCTTCTGTTGACCTGTGGGTTGGGCTAAGAAGGGATATAGGGGACTTGAGGTCACAGAACAAGGCTCTGGGTACCCTGCAGATACAAAGTAGGAGCTGCAGACAATTCAGTCCAAAGACTCCAGGTCTAGGCTGTGTGGCCCTGGAGCACACTCTGACCCTATTTTTAAGGGCCATGTGGTAGAAGCTGAGGGTGTCCCTAGCCTACAAGGAGCTTTAGGGACACATAGAACTGAATTCTACTAACAGCTGCAGGAGCTTGGAAAGGGCCCTGAACTCAGAAAGGAACCTACTTGAGCTGAGCTCTGACTGCAGGCTGATTGGTCCCTGAACTGAGGCTGCCAGGTGCATCGGTGTCCAGGCTCCCGGCCCAGGAGGAAGGTAAAAAAGAGACTAGGAGTGTTTAACTGCCAGACATGATGGCTCAAGCCTTCAATCCCAGCACTCGGGAGGAAGTGGCAGACGGAGCTCTCTAAATTCAAGGTCAGCCTGGTTTATACAGCAAGTTCTAGAACAGCAAGGACTACATAGAAAGACCCTGTCTCTGCCAGGTGGCAGTGGCGCACGCCTTTGATCCCAGCACTCAGGAGACAGACACAAGTGGATCTCTGTGAATTTGAGGCCAGCCTGGTCTACTGAGCGAGTTCTAGGACAGGCTCCAAAACTACAGAGAAACCCTGTCTCGAAAAAAAAGAAAAAGAAAAGACCCTGTCTCAAAACAAAACAATAAACAAAAAAAGGGGTAATAACCTTTTGGATGGAGATATAGCCAATTGGCAGCATGCTTGTCTACCATGCACAAAGCCCTGGGTTCAATCTCTAACATGGTAAAAATCCAGGTATGGTAGAGCATACCTATAATTCTAGCACTTGGGAAGTGGAGGCAGGAGGATCATAGTTCAAGGTTATCCTAAGTTGGGTTGTGAGAAACTGGCTAGAAATACTAGCATATTATCTTAAGCCCCTATATTTATGGTTATTTGTCACATAGCAATAGGAAAATGAGGCATTTGGCCTGGCTATGGTCGGGATCAACCTCTGTACCTCTGAGAGTTGTTCAGGCAGTGCATCCCAGCCAGAGGTCCAGAGTTCTAGCCCCTGTGGTCCCAAAGAAGCCAAGTGACATTTGTGAAGGATGACTCACCCTGGCCCGGGATGATGGTGAGATGTAATAATGACTCTCAGAGTCTCCGAGGCGGATTCGGTGGTGGCAGGTACGGGCCAGTCCACTCAGGGCACATGTGCTGGGGAGAACAGAGCAAGTGTAAGGCGCTGAAAGAGGCTACAGAGGCAGGGATGTGTGCACGCTAGAGGGTGCATGGACAGTTAGCACAGGAAGCAGGTAGGAAGTAGGGCCTGGCCTCCTCTTCCCTCCCCTCCCAACTTCTAAAGGAGTTCAGGGCCAAACAATTATGTGGGATGGGGCAAGAGTCCTCAGGAAAGACCTGAAATGCAGCTGGATCCATGCCCACACCCCACCCCAGTTCCTTTTCCCACACAGGCAGAGGAGCTTGGTCAATCTCATGTCATACCAAGTATACCAAAGTCTCACCCTCTGCAGCCTCTTAAACTGCCCCCCCGCCACATTACTGGGGACCTTATGCCCAATCACCTCTTTCCCTAACTGAATTCTGGTCTGACTGCCTCCCACATCCCCCCACCAGGGTCATCTCCTGCCCACCAGGCCTCACTAAGAACCCCCTCCCACATCATCTCTCTCCTCAGCCAGGCCTGGGAAATCTCCACTTAGTACCTTCAGCTACCCACATATTAGGTTTCCATGGTCCTGAGAGCCCATTATCCAGCCTCCCACTCCCAAATCTTGCTCCTCCACTGGTCCCTGCCTCCATGAAGAGGTCTAGAGCATCACCTACAAGGCTCCCTCCCCCACACCTGCACTTGGTTGTCACGTTGTCAGCCTACATCGTTCCTTTTGCTTGGATTCCCTCAGCTCCTTCCAACCACCCTCTACTTTCTCTACCCTTTCTTCTTCTCTATGTTACAGCCAGGAGCACCTCCGAAGGCCATGTCTAACTCATCATCCTTCCCCATGGCTTCCCTATTGTTCAGGAAATAGACTCTCAGGTAAAGGACGGTTGATAGTGTTCGTTGCCTCTTCCTTCACTGTGAGGCTGAACCTTCACTGAAAGTTCACCAGAGGACTTTCTTTTACGGTAACACATGCTGATGACACTCCAGCTTCCCTGGCCTTCATTCATCCTGTTCCTTCTGCCTGTAAAGCTGGCTCGGATGTTCCCTCTGGGTGGCCAGGCTTCCTTTGTGGGACCAGCCCCACCAGCCATCTCTAGAATGTCAAGGGGCAACCCTGCCTGACCCTCCGTCCACCTCGACTGCTCACTTCTGTGGCTACCCTTGCCCAGTGCTGACTGAGCAGCATGCAGGTAAGCTGCCAGGGCTGTGAGTAATTTATTGGCAGGAGGTTGAGCCAGCCGCTAGCAATCACTTATATGCCAATCAGAGCCCAGTATCTCTGTGAGACAGAAGAGGCGGGAGAGGGAGAATGGACGATGCCAGCCAGAAGAGACACCCCAGCTGGCAGCAGGGATTTTTGTCAAAGGTACTTCCTGGACCTAAATGGGGATAGCGATGACTGTTCCTCTCTTGTGGTTTAGTGTTTTCACTTTTTTTATTTTATAATTTAATTTAATTTTACATATTAGCCACGGATTCCCCTGTCCTCTCTCCTCCCGTGTTTTCACTTTTTTAAAGCAGGGTTTTGTGTGTAGCCCAGGCTTGTCCTGAAGTTGCTATGTAGCCAAGAATGATCTTCAACTTCTGATCTTCCTGCCTCTACCCCCCCCCCCCAAGTGCTGGGATCATAGATGTATGCTGCTCTGCTTGGTTTTACAAGGTGCTGGGATGGATTCCATGGCTTTGTACATGCTAGTCAACGACTTGATAAGCTATACCCCCAGCCCCATGTCTTGGGAGTCCCTAGACTAGGTCAAAAACCATAGGAGACTGTCACCCTGAATGTTACTGTTCCTACCTACCCTAGATGGGCTCTATAGCCCATCTAGGAGGCCCAAGACTCAGGCTCCTATCCCAGTCCCCTAGGGTGCTGCCCAAGGCTCCATTTTGGACCTTCCGCATGGGCAGGAAGGGGCCTAGGGGCACTAAGCTTACTTGGTGTTGTGACATTCAACAGTGGGCACCTTCACAGCAGGCAGAGTCTGTGAAGCCACAGGCTCGATGGTGAGTGTATTGTCCTCCACAGCAGCCCGCACCAGAGCTGAGAGCTGTAGCAGATCAGGGTACAGCAGTGAGATGCTGGGTGACTGGGAACTCATAGGATGGGTCCCCAGCTGGCCACCCTTGGCCCCCCAGCCCACCTCACCTCCTGCACTGTGAAGTCGAGGCAGGGGCCCACATCCTCCCCGGTACACTCTTTCCAGGAAGGGGCAGTCCTTATCCAGGGTAGGTGATGCCCTCCAAGCCTGGAACTCTGAAAACAGGGTCGTATCCACCTGCAGGGGAGGGGAGCCAAGTGGGGGCAGTCAGGGATGAGGGTGAGCACCCCAGAGAAGGCAAAGCTGATGGAGAGGAGAACAGGAAGGTGCAGGAGGGCGCGGTGGCCCACCAGGCCTGTCCTCAGCAGCCATGCAGGGGAGCAGAGTCCAGGGAAGAAGAGGTCCTGTCTGCCCTTTGCACCAAAGATTTAGAACAACACAGTTTGGGTCTGGGTGTACATTAAGTTTCTTGGCACTTGCAAAATTACAGACTTGGATCCAGGGCCTTGGCCTGAATTCTGCTACTGACTCCTTTTGGAAGAAACATCAAGAACAAGCCTGTAAGAATCTGTGGGTCCCCAGAGGCACCCACGGGTCTCTGTACGTCTAGAATGCACATATAGGTACATGCACACAGGAGAGAACATTCACAGGTTTCCCTGCTGCCCAGTTGAGGAGGCAATGATGGCCTGCCCTGGGCTGCATGCACAGTAAGTGAAGCCCAGATGGGAGAGGAAGGGGTGGCCCCTTAAGGAGCCATTACCTGTCGGGAAAAGGAGAGAGAGGTAGCGGAGTTGGAGGCCGTGGGCGGCTCCCCAGATGGGAGCTGCCAGGTCGGCTCGTAGGTGAGGTGGATGGCCTTGCTGGGGATCACGCACAGGAGCAGGGAGAGTAGAGGGGGCAGCCCAGGCTGGGCCAGGGGATGGGTGGACGGATGGACAGACAGACATACAGAGACAGACAGGAGGAAGGAGGAGATGTCAGTGTCCAATGGGAAGCTCAGTGCTCAGAAGGGGACTGAGAGGGCTTTGCTTGCACCTCCCTGGAAGCTCAGGGGACAGATGAAGAGCGTTCTGAGCTAGGACGGGCTTGAGCAAGAGCCCCAGGAAGCTGGATCTCACCCCACGTCTCCCCAGTGTTCACCGGGTACAGCCTGAACTGACTCTTTCCTGTCCTCAGTTCCTCTCCCAGAGGGGCGGGGGGCGGGCGTGTGGCATGGGAAGTGCTACCAGCTACCCAAGGACCTGTGTTCATGTCAGTCCAGCCTGGACCAAGCCTCCTCCCGCTTTTCCCCACTGAGGCAGGACAGAGATGCTTCTCTAAGGTCATACTTGCCTCAGCACCACAGCCAGAGGCACTGAGGACCCTAGAATACATAAACAAGTATGGAGTGGCCTTAGACCTCAAGCCTGTAGCCACAAAACACCAGGTAGCCTCTCTCTAGATGTCCAGGGGACCCAGTCTTGTCACTCTTCACATAGGAAGTGCATCTCTGAAGAGGTTTCCTGAGAGAGGACCTTTAGGTTCGAAGACAGCTCAAATTCAGAGATTACCACCTCCTGCTTGGAATCAGAGGAGCCTGCCCAGCCTTCACAGTTCAAGGGACCCTGAAGCCCAGAGCGGGGAGAGACAGGTGGCAGGTCCCACAGGAGGGGTCAGGCTGGCTCCTCCAGGATGCTCACTTGGCGGGTTAAGCGGGATCACCCCTCCCTGTTGTGAGCCCACATGGCCTGTGCCTCACCTCCTTGCCTTCTTTGTCTGGGGTGGGGATATGCCCTGCAGTGGGGCACACAACCGGACAGAGGGAACTGCTGGTACTCTTATGGCGTGAGTGGCCCTTTCGGGGTCCGGCCTTGGTGGGGCTCAGCAGCTGTGGGTGGAGCTCACGGTTGGGAGAGGCTGGTGTGGACGTGATGACCAGTGTCTTCAAGGCTGTCACCTCTGCCTGTAGCATGTCAATCTGGCCCAAACAAGATGACCATCAACCCCAACGTGGGGTTAACGTCACCATGGCTACCACAGCCTGTCAGCCAAGTAGCCCCAGCAGTAACTAGCCCCTCCCCTCCCCCTTGGAACAACCTCTAAGACATCTATTCTATAGATAGGGAAACCAAGGCCGAGAGGAGACACAGCCTGCCTCAGGACACATCCTGAGACTCTGCTGGAGGAGCTCTCTGAGAACTTCTTGGATCTCCTACTGCATATTCAGGGATCTCCAGAACCCAAGAACAGGCCAAGCTTCACATTTACTGATTGGCAAACACTATGAGAAAGGAAACTGCTTGCCTGTGTTCTACAGCCAAGGCCCACATTTCTGCTTTGAAGTCAGGAGGAGAACCTGTAACAACCACTGGGCCCCCCTGGACTACAGAGGACCCCCCAAAAAAGTCTCTATGGTGCAGCAGGAGCACTGACGGAGTCTGGGGGCCCTGGGCTACTTAATTTCAGATCCACCCTGCCTGTCCCAGACCTGGGTTCTCTTGTTCCTGAGGCCTAGTAGGTCTGTGAGGAACCTGTTAGTTGAGGGCAGTATGCCCCGCCAATGGCTGTGATGGGAGCCTGGAGCTGGCCTAGGCGCACAGGGATGGGTCTCACCTTGCCCCAAGCCTCCTTCAACTGCTTTTCGGACGCAGCCTGCTTCATGTTGGCTTCCCGAACCATCTTGTGAGCTTCCTAGAAGAGGGGGCACCTCTGCATGAGTGGTCACAAGACACCAGACACCCAGACCAGCCAGGCCACCCATTCCCAGGCTGCCCAGTGTACCTGGAACAGGCTGGCTGTGAGTTCCTCCAGCTCCTGCTCCAGCTGTGCACGCACCTTGCAAAGCCGTTCACACTCCTCGTCCTTCAGTTTCAGCTCCTGGGTGCAGGCAGGAGGCTGTCAACCTGCCCTAGGCGGGCTCCATCTCCCAGCCTGGTGGGAAGCTTTAGCCCACCAGCTCACCTCACCGGCAGCTGCCAATCTACAGTACTTTAGCCCATGCCCAAGGTGAAAACCCTAGGCCAGCTGCCCAGCAGAGCTGGAAGCAGGTTTCCGGATGAGTCAAGAGGTATGGAAACATTTAGGACTTCTGAGACTTCAGTAGTAGAACGCATGCTTAGCACGCTTGAAGGCCCGGGGTTAAACCAGCCTCTTCAGTTCCCAGGACTGCAGCGCGGGCCTGGCATGTAACCTAGGCAAGTGACGGCCCTTCTCCCTTCCACAGCTATCTGGGCTTGCTCAGTCTGACTACTCTCCCTCAGCCCTCAACCCCACGCTGGAGCACCCACCTTCTGGGCCTTGTATAACTCCTCCTTCAGGAACTCTGAGCCCTTCTCTCGGATCTCCATGGAGGAGCTGCGCAGGCGCGATACGTCCAGTGGGGCGGCTGCCGAGTGTTCTTCAGCCTGGGCCTCCTTCCGGGAAGCAGAGGCTTCCACCAAGCCCCCTGGGGACTCCCTATGACTTTTGCTGGGGCCGAGGTTTTTCCAGGGGACTGAGACCGCTGAGGGGCCGGTAGGGAGGCCCTCGTCTGCCTGGGGTGGGCTGGAAGGCAAACAAAGACATCAGCGCACACAGGCTGGGGACTCAAGACCTGCCGAGCTGAGCCCAGGGACCAACCCTAGGCCGTATACCTGCCACTTGAGCCTCAGTCCTGTCCATCTGTAAAACAGAGCCACTGCAAGCTGTAACTGGAATGTCACAAGGGCAGAATGACCAAGCACGAACTTTCTTAGGGGCCAAGGCAGGGCTCACACATCTTTGTCATCCACTGTCCCCAACCTAGGGCACAGGGCAGTGCTTGGTATGTAGCAGGTGGCCAGCACTAAGTCCAAACTCAATTCACATTTGTTGAGCAGACAATTAATATTAATGTATCAATGCTTAGAATGAGTCTCTGCTCTTACACCATAGGTAAGGACTGTCCCAATGATAGCCATTCCCAAGAGCTGAAGGGGATGAGCAAAAAAACCTGGACACAGAAGAGGCAGTTAAGTGGGAGCCTTCATCCACACAGTTAGCGCAAATCAAACTTTATCAATAACATGGCATCGTTAATGGAAATGTCAATATGACAGAAATTCACAAAGGCAGACCAGAGAGGAAGCACCAGGCCTCAGCAGGCAGGCAGGATTCTACAAATAGCCCAGGCATAACAGACCCACTTCCTGCCACCCCTGGATTTTGTGAGAGAAAAACACAGCTCTCCCTGGCCTTCTGTGTGATTTCAGACAAACACCCCCCTCTTCTGGAAGTCTCAGAACCCTCCACTGGCTGATGCTGAAGCCTTGGGGGCACTGGGGTTCTGCCCTTATCCAGTCCCCACCTCCAAGCTACAGAAACCCTAGAAAGCAGACCCTGAAGAGGGAAGAGAGGAAGGTCTGGTCAGTGGCCATGTGCTGAGCACAGCACCTCCGGATTCACTTGCTCAGCAAAATCTGGGGCTCCTGAGCCAGCAGCCTCAGGGCGGCAGTGGCTTGGCGGGTTTGGGGGGGGCTGGGCTGACTGATAACAGTGGGAAGTGAGGGGGAGGGGCTCAGCCAAGCCTGCACTGGAAGAACACAAGGCCAATGAGACTAGGTCTTAGAATAATTGAAAGGAAATTCGGGGGACTATCCCTATCTCCTGTCCTCAAGGCCCTGAGAAGTTCACCAAAGAACCTCTGAACCTCAGTTTCCATCTGAGTAACATAAGGAAAGTGAGATCTCCGAGACAATAGCAGTGAATCCACTGCCCAGCCCAGCCTTTTCTCTGGCCTGGAATGGGCCCAACATGTGGCCTTGAGGCTCCTGGAATTGGGCCCTGCTTAGCAGGGACTGGGCCTCAGTGAGTATAAGGCAAAGATGGAGATTCACCATTCCACCAGTGTGTGTGGCAGACAGATTTTCCCAATACCATTGTTTGGGGGGAAGGTCTTGTTGACACAGGATCCTTGAGGCCTGAGCCCCCTAACAGTGCTGCAGCAGCTGTATTTGGGATGAGAATTCTGCCCAGGAACTGAGAGTTTTGTCTGTGTGTTAGTGTCTGTGTGTTTGTGATGGTACATGCATGTGTGTACACGGATGCGGAGGCCAGAGGTCAGCCTTGGATGTTGCCCCTCTGGAGTTTAAGCAAGGTCTCTTACTGGGATCTGGGTTTTGCTGATTGCTTAGGCTGACAGGGGCCTCGGAGACTCTCCTGCCTCTGTTTTAGTCCCCAGGACTATGGTTACAAGAGTATGCCACCATGCCTGGCTCAACCTCAGGTCCTCACGCTGGCCTAGCAAGCATTTTATCAACTAATCCAATTTCCCAGCCCCAGTGAGTGTGTGTGTGTGTGTGTGTGTGTGTGTGTGTGTGTGTGTGTAAGATTTATTTATATTCATGTGCGTGCGTATGCCTCTGCCCATGTATGTCATGAGTGCTGGTACTCACAGGGGCCAGAAGAATACATCAGCTCATCTGGAGCAAGAGTAACAAGCAACTGTGAGATGCCTGACGTGGGTCCTGGGAACTTGGGTCTTCTAGTAGAGCAGTCAATGCTCTTAACCACTGAGCTCTCTCTCCAATCCCATACATCATTTTAAATACTCTTTACACAGTAGTTATAGCCTTTTCCCATTCCTATAGATGGGGGTGCAAGCTCAGAGAGAGGAGGGGGACTTCTGTGGGAGCCCCCAGCTGGTGAGGGGTAATGTGGAGACAGGCAGTCAGGTCTTCAGCCACTGTCCTCAGCTTCTGGCCAAGTGGCCTGGTATGGAGTGAGTATTGCAGTCATCACATCTGCTTCATGATCAAGGGCTTCTGGGCCCAGGGAAACACAGTAGGCTCTTTATGAGTTATAGCAGGGAAGCTTTACCCAGTCTCAGCTCAAATTAGTTTATTAGACTCTTGCTCTGGCCCAGAAAGCATCCTGACTAGAATGATGGCCAACGGAGGGAGCGAACAGGACTATGGCCAAGATCACAGACAGGCTTTGCCCTGGGAATGTCTGAAGTTCCTGGAATCTACTTTCCCCATAGATGGGCGGAAAAAGCATCAGGCAGAGGGTTGCTATCAGCTCCAATAGGAAGTCACTTGTTACAGGTGAACAGGGATCAACCTTTACTGGGCAGAAATGCCTGAAATGCTTGGCCTGACTCTGGGTCCTGCAGCTGAACCTACAGGCACTGTATCCCATGGGAGTAGAAAGGTGTCTTCTGGAGACCTGGGGCCAAACCCTACCCTCTCGAATGGAAAATGATAGTCACAGTCATTCTGGCTAGTCATACCCAGCTTCATCCAGCAGTGTGGCTTGGACCATGCACAGGTACGGTCTAGGGTTAGACAGAGGAGATCCCACCATTCTACCAGCTGTCTCTGACTTTAGCCCACTTCCGGGGTGATGGGAACCTATTTCACAGCCAGAAGACAATCAAGAAGGCCTGAGGCAGGGTCTCCATGACATCTTTCCTCCTAGTAGAAAAGTTCAGTGCTCCAAGGTTGGAAGTAGGAAGCAAGGGAACAGCAGGAAGGGAAGGATGCAGCGTGTGTGTGTGTGTGTGTGTGTGTGTGTGTGTGTGTGTGTGTGTGTGCATGTGTGGTGGACACTCCAGCCTGCAGACCCGCCTCCTTTTCACTTCCCAGCTTCAAGGCCAGTTCTGGTGATCCATAAAGTTCAGAGGAAGAAAGAAGGGTTCCACAGGCCCCACTGAGCGAGGCTCTCTGCCCACACACCTCAATCGGCTTGTCAACCCCTCGGGTCTCCAGTAGGTCAGGGATCCACAGCCCTGTACCTCCTCAGTCCAGGCTCTGTGGGAAGACAGTCTTCTGTGAGGCATACTATGGGATGGGAATGAATCTTCTAGGGATGACAGATACTAAGAGTCAAGGTCAGGGTCAGGTGTGATGGCACATGTGATGGGAGCCAGAGGCAAGCAGATCTCTGTGAGTTTGAGGCCAGCCTGATCTACAAAGTGAGTTCCAGGACAGCCAGGGCTGTTACACAGAGAAACCATCCCTCAAAAAACAAACAAACAAAAAGAGTCAAGGTCAGAGGCAGATGGGGTGGCCAGCATCCCCCATCCTGAATCTGGCTTAGGAGCCTAGGGCCCCCACATACAGGAAGTGCTCTCCTAGGTCACTTCCCCAGGAAATAGAATGCAGTGGCTACAACTCTCAGTCCACCAGGCCTGTCCTATGCAGGCACCAGGGGTTTTTGTCCCTATCCTCAAAGCATAACTGAAGGAGAACTGAACTCTGCAGCCTGTTAGTCACTCAGACACTCAAAACCCTTCTTGGGTCAGGAGCTAAATAGGATCCCTTGAACCCCTTTGAGCTTCTAACCTTCCTAGCCTGAACAAATCAGCCTGTTCTGGGCTCTTCAGCAAGTGGGCATGGCCCTATATAGCTCTTTCTACGATTAAGAATCCCTTCTCAGCCAGGTGGCGGTGGCGCACGCCTTTAATCCCAGGACTCGGGAGACAGAGTCAGGCGGATCTCTGTGAGTTGGAGGTCAGCCTGGTCTACAGAGTGAGTTCCAGGACAGGCTACACAGAGAAGCCCTGTCTCAAAACAAACAAACAAAAACAAAAACAAAACAAAACAAAAAACAAAAAAAGAATCCCTTCTCTCTTCCAGGCCACAATGGTTCACCAAATAAACAGCAGAGGGGGCCCTGAGCGCAGCTCTGGAACCACAGAAGGACTAGACTGGGAGCACACATCCTATGCTGCCTGCCCAGGGCAGCTACAGAAATCTTGCCTAGAACTGACTCTCAGTGGGGCAGTGCCATGGTACTCGCGGCGGGATTCAGACTCCTTCAGGAGACTAAGAATGAGAGACATATGACATTCACATTCACGTAGCAACAAGGTGCCAGGAAAGGGTTTGTGGCTCTCTATAAGCAGCCTACAAGCCCAGCAAACAGCCTAAGTCTTCAGGCCCAAACCAACAAGTACGTAGGGTTTCCAGGTTCCTGGTTCAGGTTCAGGTCAGCCCACCACTTAACCACCACGGGTGTCATGACAGTGTTGTAGTGAGAGGGACTCCACAGTCTAATCTTAATGACAAGGTAACCCAGCAGGAGACAAGGTTAATGCCCTGGCTTGGAATACATAGCAAGGCGTTGGTAGGATGGGAACTGAACCCAGACTGCAGGCACAGCACAAACAGCATGTGACTTGCCCCTCACAAGCAGGAATGAATGGAGGTTTCGGAGAAGTGAGGCAGGATGCAGATGGGGTTAGAGGAAGTTAGAGATGGTGCCCAAGTAAGGGCGGAGTGGTGATGCCCAGGGCCGCCTTGCCTGCCAGGCAGGAATGAGCTGGGGGGGGACACACAGACAAAGCATTGTAGGGGCCCATGGGCACGGGCAGGGGGTGGAGCAGGACTTCGGTAGGAGGGCAGGTAAAATATGCAGCAGCGCAGTAATTGATTAACTAAGCTCATTTAAAACCAAGGAAAAGCTCGGTGAGAACAGTGGGATGGGAATGAGGAAGTGGGAGGGGGTCTTCAGGGAAGCGAAAGGGGGTGGCTCGGGCTTTTGGGAACTACAGGGTGCTGTGGGTGGCTAGAGAAAAAAGGCAGGACAGTGGCAGCTGTTGGGAGGTACCAGCGGGAACAGCCAGCATCTGAGCCTGGGCTGAGGGGTAGCAGAGGGGGAACCCTGTGAATCAGAGACACATCTTGTCTCTCTGATGGTAGGGATCTGGAGTTAGGTCAGAATCCAGTGAGCCAAGGCAAGCAGGCACAAGGGACAGGCAAGAGACAGGGTGGGCCTTAGCCACTGCTGGAGGGGACTAGGGCAAAAGGTGGGAGGGATGTTAGGCCACTGATGGGGGAGGGTGCCGATGGGAAAGGGTTTCAGGCGCAGCAGCAGGCCCTAGTGGGAAGAAGAGATCAAGAGACTAAGTAGATGGTCAGGCCAGATTCTTCCTGCTACTGCCCCCAGGCCAAGCCAGGCCAGCCCAAGGGGGGACTCAACCCTTGTCTCTCCGCCAAGAGCCAGGCCAGGCCTGGATAAGTGAGGGTCACATGTTATGCTTATATAGGCTTCTGGGGGACTTCCTGTACATTTAGTCCAAGATTTCACACACACACACAAACACATGCATACATACACACACACACCCCTAAAACCTCTGACATATAGCATGTGCCTAGTAAGCGCCTACCCTGCCAGCTTCCACATCCTGACCACATTCCACTTTCCATAGCTGCCAGGAAGTTTCCAGGGGCTACCATGGCATCTCCTTCTCCCTCCCCTTTTCACGATGTACCTTCCTCTCCTCATTCTCCAAGGTTTACTAAGCATATATCCAGTGCTGAGGACCGGCAGGGCTCTACTGAGAGTCTGCTCTGATCCTGGACACAAATGTGCTGGGCAAGGAATGGCAGGCAAGATACTTCCATCTGTTGAAAGGCCAGGGTGGGGGGAGGGTTCATGGAGGCTGCGCAAGTCCTTCCCAAAGGGAAGGCCTATCTGCCTGATCCTGGGGCCCTCAGTCCCCTGTGACTTAGGTCTCAGGGCAGGAGTCCTTAGAGCAGGGAAGGCCCAGAACAGTTAAGTGACTCAAGATTGCAGAACCTAGATACCTACAACTGTGGAACTCCCTAGTCACTGGCCTGGGGCAAAGGCACGGCCCTCAACACCTGGGAGGCTGGGTGAGCTCAACCTTTTTTCTCAGCAGTCCATTGGAGTTTGGGCCTCCCTAGAGATAGTTATAATTAGTCCGATCCAGCGAGTGGGGAATCTGAGACCAGAGGGTCACACCAATGTTATATAGCTGCTCAGTGCCACAGAAACGGTCCAGAACCCAGACTCTGGACTCTGATGACCAAATGTAAAGTGTCCCAGACTGTGTTGGGTACAGAAATCTCAAAGTATCATCTTCACTCCATTATCTAGAGTGGGCATGGCCCCCAAGACCATCTACCTATGTAACTACAGGAAATGGAGGAGAAGCCCAGTCTGGAGTGGGTGTGGGTGGTGGAGGATCAGCCCCTTAAAGTGAGGTTGGAGAGCCAGGCATAGCAGTGCTGCACCAAGAAGGCTAAGGCAAGAGGATCAAGAGTTCTAGGCCAGGGCCCGTGAGATGGCTAAGTGAGGTAGGGTGCTTGCTGTGTAAGCTTGGGGACCTCGGTTCAATCCCTAGAACCCATGTAAAAGTAGAGGGAGAGTACCAACCTCATAAAGTTGTCCTCTGACCTCAACTTGTATGCAGCAACCCATGTGCTCCCTCCCCTATCTTACACACACACACCCTGCACACTAATAAAAAATTCTTTCAAAAGAGTTCTGGGTCAGCCTCGTCTATGTGGCAAGAACCTGCGTCCACAAACAAAGCAAAACCAAGGGAGACTGTGGCTGGGGCTGCAGTTCGGTTGGGAGAGTACTTGCCCAGCACATGCAAAGCTCTAGATTCCCACCCTGGCACCACCTAAACCAGCCATTGTGCCTCATGCCTGAGTCCTAGTACTTGGGAAATGGAGAGAAGGGGTCATCCTTGACTATACAGAGAGTTTGAGGCCAACCTATGCTACATGAGACCCTGTACCCACTTCCCCCACCCCAAAAATCAGACTGGAACTGCCACTTCAAGGCTTATGCTCTAGAATCCTAAGAAGGATCTCTCCTTCTGGCTCCTAACAGGGTCCAGTCACTTGTGTTCAGCCCCATTAGGACCCTGCCATTAACAAACACCCAAGAGTGATGCTCGGTTCATCTTACAGCAGGAAGCTAAGCCCCAGAAAGCCTGGATTTGCCAGTCCCCAACTCTTTCTGGACTAGGATCCACAGCTCCTAGGAGATGCCTCTTGGAGCTGACATGAGCTTCTAGGGGGTCACAGAGCAAGATCTAGCAATGTATGACCCTGAGCATGGTTCCTCTTAACTGCTGCAGGGAGGGGACTGCTCCAAGGCTCCCAAGACCCCAGTGCAGGCTAAGAAGGTCAGACTCTGGTCCCGATGTCTAAGGGCTGGGGAGATGGCTCAGTGGGTAAGACTGCTTGCTGCTTAAGCATGAGGACCTGGGTTCAGATCCCAGTTGGCCATATGTACCTGCAAGCTGAGCACTGTGAGGGCACACGGCACCGTGAGAATCACTAGGGTATACCAGCCACCAGCTTAGCAGAAAAACAAGTTGCAGCTTCAGTGAGACCCTGTTTCAAGGGAATATACAGTGGAGAGAGACAGGACACCTGACATCTCCTCTGACCCCCATGTACACACACACACACACACACACACACACACACACACACACACACACACACACACACCCCAGCCCAGAGAAGGGACCTGTACCCTTAGGGTCGGTCATACAGCAATTGCCTCAGTCCACCCAGCATAAAGGCTCACAACTTCCTTCAGACCAGGCTGCTCCTCAAACACACAGCCCCAGACAGGATCAAACACATGTATCCCCAAGCAGGATTGCATCAACCTCTGCAGGCACCAGGAACCCACCCGACACACTTTCCAAGCCTCTTTCCCTGCAGTGAAATTCCAAACACAGGCTGGCTTCTGCTCCCTCTAAAAGATCCAAGCCTGTCCACACTGCACATGAGCTCAGGTTTGGTGCCCCAGCTGGAGTGGAAGCCCCATTTCTCCCCTAGCACCTCAGGTCAAGCTCAGCTGGGGTCTATAAAAGTAAATAGATCTCACCTGTTCCCCTCCCCCAGGGGCTTTTCTCCTTCCTTCTATCCTGGGACAATCCTTAGTAGGAACCCCCTCCCCCAGGACCTAGTCCCTCCAACCCAGGGAGAAGGTATTTGCCTAAATTCAAGAAAGGACATCAACCTTTATGAACACAGGGCAGGATCTCCTATTAGACTGACCACGAACAGGAACCAGCCTCAAGAACCCATGGTCCTAACAGATGTGAGTGGGGGTGAGGGATGTAGAAAGGGCTCACCCAAGTCTCAGGGTCTGTGCTGTTCAGCTCCTCCAGACTGCGAGTCAGCACAGACCCATCCCACATCTTGAATCACAAGGTTCCAATCAACTGGCCAGGGACCTTGGAGAGACACTGCTAGCTTTCTCAATTGCACTGCTTCCCCAGAGTTCATGGGTGTTCCCTCCTTTAAATGCGTGCCCCAGATTTACTCTACAGTATACATACTACCACTCATCCCCCTCCCACCCCCCTACTTCTCTCATGAGCTCCATTGGAGCTAGGAGGAGTTGGCGCTGTCACCTTCCCTCTCTGGGGCAACTCAGATCGGTCCCGCCAAGGTCCTTTCAGCTCTGAGGCAGCAGAGTGTCCTCAGGGTACAGTGCCACCCTACGCTGCAGGCAGGGCTGGGAGTACAGATCATCTCCCAAGTCGGGTGCAAACAACAGCGGGGACCCCCTGTTCTCCCACCCAGGAGGCCAGCGCGGCCCAGACCAAGCGCAGAGCCACCGGCGTGCGGGGACCTACCCGCTCCACATCCCGGCGCCCCCGCTCTCCGCGTTGCCGCAGCCGCGTCCACGCGCACAGCCAACTCTGCCCGGGCCCCAGAGCTGCCCTGCAGCCTGTCAATCGCTCCACCGCCGGTCTGTCCCGCTGGCCGCTAAGGTTCGCGGCTCCGCCCCACCCTGGCCCTTCCCCTGCCCTGGGCGGGTCACGTGCTCGAGAGGCGGCCCCAGGCCACGTGCCCGGCCCCGCCCCTCTGCCGGCCCAGCCCGGTCCCTCTAGCTGTGTGGGTACCGTGATCCCGCGGAGCGAGGGCAGGACTGGTCCGGTCATCTCGCAGCCAGAGCTGGCCTCGGCCTTTCCCAGTACTCTCTGCCTCGCACTTTTGGACCACCCTTGCTTGAGGTGGTCCTACAATGGCTCCCGGGGGTCTCAGCTCTGATTCTCGCGCAGATTGTCACTCAAAGCGGCCAGACACCTCCTACACGCTCACTCAGACTTCTAGCCCTGTTACCAGTCTCTGGAGCGCGGAGCTCTTCATCAGTTCCTGTGTGACATTGGACTTCTGGGAAGGGGGTGGGGTAGACCCCAAACTATTCCCATTCGTTGAGCAGTTAGCCCCAAAGGGAACTACTTTGGCCCAACTTACCAATTCTGCTTTCCAGAGCCCTCCCCACGTACCTCTGAACTCTATGCTCATCCCAGCTTTTCCAGCCATTTTAAGCTCTGGAGACTACTCCACCAACCTCACAAGTACCTGTCAGTCCTAGGTATTTAAAAAAATAAAATTTTTAAAGTCTCTATAAAGTTTGAATCCCTAGCCTCTGGTCACCTGTCCCTCAGTTCCTCTGCCCTGCTTTTACCCTGGCCCTGACCACTGACCTGAATGAAGTTCAGCCTCAGATTAGGATCCAGTGAGTAGAGTCCATAGCCAACCCCTCCTGGAGTGCTCCTGGAGCTCCCACAGGCAGGGTCTGCAGACCCCCTCTGGGCTTTTGAGAACACATCTCACTCATCCATCCACACAAAGAGGCAGTCTGAGGACTTCTGAGCTGTCTGAGGACCCTTGCAAAAGCAAGAAACCCTCCAGGCTGGAACCCCTCCCTCCTTTTTACCCTCCCTCCTTCTCCCTTAATCCCCTCTTCTCAGTGGGTGTGAGTCATATAGTGCCTAGGCTGATTTCCAGCTTCTGGGCTGAAATGATCCTCCCTCAACTTCTCATTGGCTGTGACCACAGGTACGTACCACCATGCTTGACTTACGGAATCCAGTATGGCGGACAATAGATGGGAGACCTGCTTTCAAGGGCCTCTGCCAGGGCCTCAACTTGCCTAGGACCCATTCACCAACTAATAGTGTCTCCTTTCAAAACAAAAATGAGCTAGGCTGGAGAGATGGCTCAGCCAGCAAGGCATGCATTTTTCTTGCAGAGGACCCAAGTTTGGTTCCCAGCACCCACATCAGGAAATTGACAACCTCCTCTGACCCCAACTCTAGGGGATCCTAAGCCCTCTTCTGGCCTATGAGGGCACCTGCATGAATGTGCACAAACCCACACATGGACATATACAAACATATTTTTTAAAAATAGAAAAGAGTGTTCCTTTCCCAGCTTATAAGAACAAGGACTTAACCAAGCTGGAATCCATGTCTTTTCCGGTAGCTGGCATCTTAGGGCATGAAGAATCTGGACAGCCCTCCAAAGCATCCTTTTTACCTTGATAGACTCTCAGCCCAGGTCTCTTGTGTCCTTCCTTCACTCTCTACAGAGTGTTTATTTATCAGGCTATGACTTCTCCCGGGTAAGGACCAACCCCTTCTTGGGACTATGTTCCTCCACCCAGCCCAGCCCAGTTTAGGGGCTGGCCCAAAGCAGATGTCAACATATTTTTGTTGACTTCAGCTAAGCCTTGAGTAAATGCTGTTTTCCTGCTCCTTGTTCTGGTCATTATCCAGGGGAAGGAGGAAAAGATGACACAGAAAGAGTCCAGGACAGGGTCCTTGCCTTCCAAGTCTTTAAAAGCTAGGGCAAAGATAAATTATGGCAGTGGGATTAGTGGGAGATAAAGGGGAGGAGGTGTCAGCAAAGGTCTAGGTGCCGATGGAGAGGCCTCATCCTGGGAGCCCTTGAGGAAGGCCTCAAAGGACAAATGTGTGGTCACCACCCAAGGGCATTGACATGCAATTACTAACCAAAAATATCTTGTCATGTGTACATCTAGACTCTGTGAACTCCAGGCCATACAGTTTCCTCTGGGTAGCACAGGAACCCTCCTGTGGAAACCCATCCCAGGGAAAGGGACGGACTCAGAGAAGTTAAGGAACTGATGTCTCCCCGCCAGGGGTGGGGAGGTGGAATCTCTCTATGGCAGTTTTTCCAAGAGACAACCCAGAGCCACTGGTCTTGCTGGAAGCTGCAGCTGGGTACAGCCAGCCCTCGGAGGGTTACTGAACACCTACTAGATACCTGGCCCAGCCAGTGGGGAGGGGAAAATTAAAGACGTGTCTGTAATCACTAACCACAGAAAGCCTCATCTTCCCTCCTTCCACACCGCCTCCTGTCCACTCTCTCCTCCCTAGCTTGTTACCCTTAGCCACAGACCCTAGGCTGAGGCTGAAGGCACATGAGACTCGGGAGACAGCCTGGATGAATCAGTGCCAGATTCTGCAGTTCTGTTTCTAGCTATGACCGACGATGAGTATCTCACCCTCCTGAGCTTCAGTTTCTTTCTACCTTAGTCTAACCCTCAAGCTGGATCAGACAATCAGGGCTCCTCTCTGAGTGCCCACCCTATAGGAAGCTCCTGAAATCCTTTCTGGTTCAAAACAGCCCATTGTTCAAAAGCCACTTCTGATCCCCATGTCCCTGCAGAGTGGCAAGACCCATCCCCCCACCTCCCCTCAGTGTCCCAAGACCAGAGCTCACCTGTTTGCATCCCAGGGCTCCTCTCTAAAGTTCCTCTCAGGTACAGGACTCAAACCTGATGGGGCATAGCGGACAACGCCTGAGCTCATGGCTAAGAACACCGGGCATGATCCTCGGGCAGGGCACTGCTTGGGCTCCTCAGAAGCTTCCATGTCTAGGGGCCAGGCTGAGGCCCCTTTGGGCACCACAAGGAGGGCAGGCGGCAGAGCCTGCCTCCACGCCAGGCAGAGTCTCCCACTAACTAACCTTTGCTATCTCTCAGGAGCAGCAGCCCAGTGGCCGGGCGGGGCCTCCCAGACAGGCTTCTATCTTCTTAAACCCTTAATTATTAACTCCTGAGACTCAGCGGGCAGCGGAAGACATGGGCCTCTTTCCTGGGTTATGGGCTCTGAGCTGGACAAGATCTACCTGGGAGCAGGAGGGAAGCTACTCCCCGTGCTGATGACCAGGGCTTCAAATCTCTTAGAGCGCGCCTGTCCCCTGCCCTCCCTGGCTGAAACATCCAACCTGGCCCCATCAGCACGGGCCGCTGTTTGCCTTTGGACAGGTATTCGTAGCCCCTTAAGCCCTTCAAGTACCATCACCGAAGGGCAATTCAATGTAGCTTCAGCCGCTTTGTGCCTCAGTTTCCATAAAATGGACTGCCAGCCTCCAAGGTATATCCAGCCAGCTGTCATTGCCTTCTCCTTCCATACGTTGTTGCCCACGCTCGCTCTCCCTGTCTTCTGCGCAGGGTGGTCATGGCAAGGCTGGGCATTGAAGCCAGAGCCTTGTACATGCAAATACTGAGCCACACACCCAATCCTTACAACTAACTTCAACTTCCATTGCGTTTTGTCCCTTTCAAAACGGAAAAGATTTCTTCCTTGGCAGTGGGAGCCTGGACGAGTCATTTAGCCTCTCTGGGACTCAGCCTCTTGTCTATAAAATGGGAACTATTCTTCCCTATGGGAGACAGTAACCTTCATGGAGGGTCTACCCTAGTGTCACAGGAGTACCCCTAACTCCTTCCTCTTCTGCTTACACTATTGTCTCTGGTCGGCCTTTGGGTCCTTCTGGGCCCCTCCTCACCAGCGCCGCACCCCACCCAGCCGGCCAGCGGATAACAGTATCTCTGCTCAGCTTTGGGCTGTGAAGCCTGCCTGGCCTAATGTAAGCCAGATGCTGGCGGAGGGTTTCCTGGCTGTGAATTTTCCATGGCCTGCTCCCACCCCCTTCCTGTTTTTGCTTCTCGCTCATCCCCCTACTAAATTCTCCAGTGCCCCCACCTTCCTTTGCAGGGCAACCAAGGCCTCACCTGGAAACCATTAGCAGAAAACAGGATGTGCAGAAAGGGGGTGCATCTCCTACCACCCTGACTCACCCTGGCCTGGATGGTGGCAAAAGGCGCTGGTGGGGGGAGGGTGGGACCCTCAGTGGGGAAACTGAGTCAGAGGTGCTGGGGACCTCACCAAGAAACAAGATACTTTCTGGGCATTTGCCTAGAAGGGAGGGTCTGTGAAATCCTTGGCCAGAGCCAGTAAGGGGTTAACCCTCTTCACTTGCAAATCAGGAGACTGAGGCTTGAAGAGTCATCCAGGGTCACTGATGAGTGGGCACCGGGAGACAGTTGGGACGGGGCCAGCTGGCAACAGAGCTGTCATCTAGTCTCTCTGGGGCTTGTTTCATACTCATCCCTGCCTGCCCTCCCCCTATTGCTTGAGGTTGAGCCTGGAGCCTGGTCACGAGGGGGAGACTCCCAAGGCGAGAGGTAGCTGCCCAGACCTGGCCGGGCAGGCTCTGAGGTAGATAGATCTACTTCTGCAGGAGCTCCACAGGGTGACCTTGGACTAGCAGGCCGAGGAAGGTGTGAGCAGAGGGGACTGCTCTGTTTGTCTTCCTTGTCCTGTGAGACTTTCCAGGCAGCAAGGATTTGAACATACACCCCACCCGGCCCCCCAACTTCCCCAGCAAGGTCTCCCTCATTTCCATGAAAACAACACAGCCTCTGGGCTCCTAAAGCCTCCTCTGGCTGCCCCTCCCTCTGCCAGCTGTGCAGTGTTTGGACAACTGGATGGAATGTTCTGCCGCCAGAATTCTCCCTGGATCCCTGAGCTCAGATTTCACCAGGGAGGGATGCTGGCTCCAAGGAGAGGGAAGAGGCTGGGGCATTCAAACACAGGCCTGGACACCCCAGTCCCTGTGCCCTCAGGCCTGACAGAGATGACTGCCTGCCGCCCCTGTTCCACCGAGGCTCTGAAGTCCGGCCAGGATCC